CATTAAGAAGAAACAGTATAAAAATGTTTTTTTTTATTTATAAAAAAACCAAAAAAATGATAACTGGAATAATAATTGTTTTGAATTGAATCCGAAGAAAATGAAAGCGCGCGCGTAGCGCGCGTTGTCTGCTAGTCCTCCTTTTTTTTTTTTTATAGTAAAAAGGGCATGTGTACCGAGAAGTCAGCGTTTGGAGTCGAATATCTCGCACCCATTGTTGCCTCTTTTCCGCGTTGCCGATTGGTTGGTTGGTTGATCGAGTCGAATCGAATCGGTAAGATCGAAAGAGTAAATAATAAAAGCGATGTTGAGACAGAGTTCGTCGTATATGTAGAGAAAATTAAAAACGTAACTAAAGTCACGTGACAGGAAAGAGTAGAAAAACAACACGTGAAAATAACGTGACTGTAATTTATATTATATATAACATTAAATAAAACATATTATACAAACATATAATTTATTATATATTTATATTATACTTTATATTGTATTATATGTATTATGTACATACTACAGAGTAATGTCACTGACCTTCGCCGCGCGGCTTTGGTGGGGGGGGTTACTGACCTCGGCCGCGCGGTCTTGGTGGGGGAGGGTCACCGACCGCGGGCGCGCGGCCTTGGTAGGGGAGGGTCACTGACCTCGGTCGCGCGACCGCGGCAGGATCACTGACCTTGGCCGCGCGACCGCGGCGGTGTTATTGGCTTCGGTCACGTGATTACGGTATATATATATATATATACATACATATATGTTTTTCCACTTCTCTCTCTCACTATTTTTTGAGTTTGATTTTCATGCGTTATTTCTGACATTTTTCATATGTGTATTATATGGTTTATAAGACGTATATACTATCTGTCATCGCGGTGACAGGTTGTGTCACTGGTCTAGTTTCCACCGAAACTCTCAATTCGGTTTCACTCCGGTACGGATTAAATTTAGTGTTCCGTTTCCATTGGAAGTAGAGTACTTATAGATCGAAGCGAAAGCGAAATCAGCCCAATTTGACAGGTTTCCATCGACTTAAATTTGATTCTATGTCGCATTAGGTGTGAATTAATGCTTCGTTGGAAACTAGACCACTGACAACACGTTAAATAAAAATAACAATAGCGTGCGCGTAGCGCGCCTGTGTTGTGCTAGTTGGTACAAAAAAAATCAATGTATGTCAAATTGGCAAAGTGAAAATTCGCAAGAAATCAAAAAATTAGAGAAGGCGTTTTATTTTACGCACGCGCATTTTTTATTCGAGATCCGGCTGGTCGCACATGAATTTTTGTAACATGTAAGCATACGACGTAAGAATTAGCCAATGAATGAGCGTATAGAATAATTCAACCAATTAACAATGAAAAAAAAATCAATTAACTTATACTTAGAATAAAATCATTAAACAAATAAATATGATTTATAAGTACAATTATGATTTATAAATGAGCAATATTTGGAAAAATAATACTTTTCTATGTTCAATCATGCAATGATGTGGACTAGTTATTGTACGGAGATTGTAATGAGATATGCAAATATATTAATTTTGCACTGATCATAGATCAAGTAGAATTGAGATGACACAACTTTTCGTAGCAACTACTCGTATATGCCGGTTGAAATTTTTCCGTGCGAAAAAATTTCAACCTGCTGAAATTTATCTTATGTTTAAGTTTATAGCAGAGAGAAACCTGAGAGCGGCCATCCTATTGTAATTTTTTACGACGGTTTCAGCCGCTGGTTTTAGCCGTATTTCCACAAAAGTGGAACTCAAAGGCCGTTCTCTATGAAACTCAAGTCGCAGGTGTCGTGGAACTGATCAATCACGTTGGTCGATTGGCTGATTTGACTCTGCAATTGGTCAATTTCACGAGATCTGACACTTGCGTTTAATGTAGACCGGCCTTTGAGTTCCACTTTTGTGGAAATACGGCTAAAACCAGCGGCTGAAACCGTCGTAAAAAATTACAATAGGATGGCCGCTCTCAGGTTTCTCTCTGTTTATAGCTATTTCTATATTATGGCTGTGTTTCAAAATTCACTGCCAGCGCTAAAAGATCTATAGTTTAAGTCACATATATTATACAATTTTAGCACTGGCAGCGTGCTGGCAGTAAATTTGGAACACAGCCTATAGTTACTGCAGTATTTTGACCTAAAGCTACTTTTTGATTGGTTTTCGAGCTTATGCTTATGTCTTATGCTTATGGTTACGGAGATTCATGTGCGATGGCCTTTATGTGTGATTGCCTTAACGGCCCACTGAGCCACAACAGCACCAAACCAAACCATCATCCACAATTATGGCGACCATGGTGGAAGATCAGCTTTCGATTGATATGAATGAGGATAAAGATTCAGCGTAAGTTTCGATGTTCATAAATAGCAGTAGCGAGGTTTGTTAGCGAGTCGGTTGCAAACAAAGAACTTAACGAAATTCGTCACGTTTCCACAGTTTGAACTGAACACTCGGTGCAATTTAACCTAATGACACCGTTTGTGCATTTGAATTAAGGCGATTTAATTTTTCATGTTTGCAGTTTTCCAATTACACACAATTGGGTGGATATCACTCAAGAGTTTTTCGAAGCGATTACAGGTACTTAAATATTTAGAAAGTTTTGAGTTTAATCTTTTTTTAATGGGACAGCATATTTTCATTAACACAGTAATAAACTGTTCAATAAACAATTAAAGTCATGTATGTAATATGTTGACTTTTAAATGACCTCAGACTAAAAATCATGTTTCTATGGGAAAAAAGAATTTTATATAAAACTTAATCTCTTAATTAACCTAGTCAGAAATTGTGAATTAATCCTCAGCATGTAAATGCATTATATAAAAATAATTTATAAGCAGTATTCATGTGTAATAATGTCTTCAAATTTTTGCTAATATTTTTGTTTGGATTTAGAGTTAGAACTGGGAGAATTGCTACATGATGAGTTATTTGGATTATTTGAAGCCATGTCTGCTATTGAGATGATGGATCCAAAAATGGATGCTGGCATGCTGTGTAATCGAGGAAACAACAAGCCTTGCACTTTTACGCAAGCAGTAGATTCAGGAACAATTAAATTGGACAATTTTACACCAGCAGAAATAATAGGAATAATTGATTCAACATATGCATGTATAGTGTCCTGGTTGGAAGGTCACAGTCTTGCACAAACTGTTTTCACCAATTTATATTTGCATCAGCCTGGACAAATACTAGACAAGCCCTTGAAGACTTTTTGTTATGCAGTGTATAAAATAATTGAGATTATCAAGGACTGCATTAACAAAGCTTTGGTATTTGAAGAAGAAGATTTTCAAAGTGTCACCTATGGTTATAGATTACAGCAAGACATTACAGAACAGAAAACAATATCAATGTTACGAGAAGTAGAGGAAGAGCTGCACAGAAAGAGCAGAATAAAACTTGTGGATGTTGAATCTGAAAAAGAGGTTAATATTGTTTTTTTGTTTAAACTTGAAATATCTCTTCAATCTTATCGGTATTTAACAATTTAATTTGCAGTATAATGATGGAATAGCACTGTATGCAAGAATTCGATTTACCAAAATGTTCTATCAAGTATTAACACTAATGGGTCGGAAACAACAGCTGCAGCAAAATTTAAGCGATTGTCAAAGACTATTATCAAATTGCGCTGATATGCTTAACATCATGATCGTAACAGTAAATCGTGGAGAAAAAGCAGATGAAGTTTGTAAGTATATACTATGCATATATTTAGTTTTTTTTTTTTTTAACTTTGATGTTACTGTTTTATAAAAAATCAAGTTTTAAATATTCTTTCTTGTATATGAATATATATATTTTTATTTGCGAGAAAGTGTGTGAGACTTAGTTTTAATTATAGCTAATTATCCAAACATTATGGGATTCGATCCGATGGTGAATCAACGATTACTACCACCAACGTTTCCTCGATACACCAAAATTAAGCCAAGGATTGATACTCTAGAATATCTAATGGAACTGATAAACAGATTTAAAATGGTTACCAAGATCACCAATCACACCGGATTTCACGCAGCCTTGGTAATTAACGAAGAGTTCGCGTTCTTTATCGATGCGAGGCTCATATATACAGTAAATGAACTTCCTTTTAGGACTTTTTCTTAGAATTCTCGCGTCAGAGTCCATGCATATTGTCTAGATCCATGTTGCAAATTGTTTACTTGCCTTCTACTAATCGTGTCTTTGGTGTGCACAACTTTGCCGACGTTTTAAGAGATGCCGCGCGTAATTTCATTGCGCCACCTGCGTTGATGCCAAAAAGTACATTGCTTCAAAATCATCAGGCCAAGGAATATGTCGACAGCTTTCTGTCTCACTGTGTTACTCTATTTGGAAACCTGTTACAACTTAGTGGACATAATAGAGCAAGGCAGAGAGATAAGTTGGCACATTTATTAGAAGATTTCGCGACATTGCAAGATGAAGTAAGAGTTCGCTCGTTATAGAATTTTTTTTTGGTTGTTATTTCTGTACCAAACGTTGACACTTTTGCTTTACACACATGTCTAGCAAAGACTTACAAACACAATACGCATTTTAGGCAGAAAGAGTCGACGGATATTTGCACACTCTATCTTTGAAGAACGATCCACCTAGAGCTCACTTGGCTTGTTTCGGTACTTGGATTTTGTACCACACATTACGTGTAATGGTCATGTATCTTCTAAGTGGTTTTGAGCTTGAGTTATATTCAGTGCACGAATATCACTACATCTTTTGGTACCTGTATGAATTTTTGTACGGCTGGCTTGTATCCGCAATTACGCGAGCCGATACGATTTTAATGGAACAGGACGTGCACAACGATATGCATAAGGGCAGAGGTGGCAAGAAAAGTTCTAAAAATAAGAAAAAGAAGTCTACTCCAAGGCCATACAATTTAGAAATAATGATGTACCAGGCATTGCAAAATATATGTGGCGGATATTATAAAGTATATATATACTATCCTATATGCATGTAGATTTATAAATATGCAGTTTAGTACAGGTAAATATCGTGAAATCTTTAGGCTCTAGTCGGTTTCCGTATGGACGGAAAAATACCACTTCCAGAGATGCAGTTTGATTCCGAGCGAGTGAGATACGAGCACAGATTATTGCCGTTTTCAACTTTGATGACGCCACCGCCTGTGCACTATCAAGAATTTCTTGATATGACAAACGCGCAAATGCATAAAAGAAATGTAAGTGCAATGCTTGATATTACTCATTTGTGTCGTTTTTAAATTAAGAGTTGAATAAACATACTCGGTTAACGTTAAGGTTTATTAACGTTATGGTTAATTAACGTTTTGATCATTTATTCTGATTATATTTCAATTTCCATTCTTGCAGGAAAAAGTAACTAGTGAAATGCAGTACGTTGCCGGTTGCCGACATTTTCATCAAGCTAGAAATATGTTAGAGCGCGCGTTATTGCTTTATCCATCAAATAGTTTAATGGAAAACGAAGTAAGTTCATAAAAACATAAGTTTATTGCAGCTTTATAGCATTATTGTCATCTTGCACATTTTTGTGTTTTGTAGATTAACAACTTGTTGAAAGTAGCGAAAACGAACTTTGTGGTGCTGAAGCTATTGGCTGACGGACACAAAAAGGACTCGAAAGAACCGCCAGTCTTCGATTTCTCTTGCCATCGGCATTTTCCTTTAATTAAAATAACTTAAATTACATATTGTTACTTTTTTTTATATCGTAAAGAGAAAATGTTATTTATTTTTTCTGTCACATAGAAAAATGTCTGTCTCATTTGAAATGCTTTGAAATGATGATCTCTATACATATTTTTACCCTCCGTCATTCGATACAAAAATAACAAACAAATTTTTTTGAAAGATTTTGATTTTAATTTATGTATAATTTTGTACATTGGAAATGTATGTGTGTATGTGTGTAGGAGGGAGCAAATTATATTTATAATAATACACATTGTATTTATGACAAATTGTATCTAGGGCAGATGTTTAAAATGATTACTGTAAAAGATTGTACTAAGCTAAAGAATTAAAAATTTATGTGAGCTGTGTAAATATATACATACATATGTATATACACATATATATATATATATATATATATATGTATACATATATATATATGTATTAAAAAATGATAGTTGCTGATAGATGTCTATATAAACATAGTTTTCTCATGTTTTAGTTTAGCGATCTCATATTCAACCCTATTATATTTACATTGTATGCGTTATCTCTCTTTAATCTTTTTTTTTACACACATCATGTCTCAGCTTACAATAATAATTATTTCATTTTAAATGCAACGTTTGCAATCGCCAAGGGAGAGAGAGAGAGAGAGCAGTGTTTTTCTCTACGAAACGTCAATCCACATGATTGGCCGGTTTTACCTGTCGACCCAAGCGATTGGTCAATTTTGACGGAATAATCAGCTGCTCGGAGATGACAAACTGGTGGTCCGCAGAATTTCCCAATTTAATATGTCGTTCTGTCTTCGAATGAACTCACAATGCGCATGAGTTGGCTGGGTGCAACTTGTCCAAGAGCGAGAATGATGCAGCTTCATGTGAATAGGCATTTTCGTAAAGGACCATCGGATTCTCGTCTAACGGATGGTGTAGTGTATACATAACGCTGGCAGATCTCATTCGTCTAGAGACATCGGGAGAGACACCTGCGAGTAATGTCCGACGTGCTGTACTCGTGCTCAATCGAAAAATATCGTTGATAGATATCATGCGCTTCTAGAAGGATACAATTGTGAGCAGCTTGAGTGTGGTCAGTGTGTTTCGCTCGATGTTAATAACAACTCTCGGCCACAAGAGAAGAGTAAGCCATAATATGGATGCATGCGAGTGTTAGTATTCTCATTTGAGAATTACATAATATATATATATGCATGAGTCACAATTTGTCACAGGGTTGAATATTGTACGTGGGGAGGGGCAGAGAGGAAGGAACTGCAAACGTCAAAGTTGTATAGTAACGATGACTGTTCTCGTTGCTTTCTGTTGCTTCGACAATTACAAAAAGAGCCAACTTGTCGTTTATTCTTTGAGAGTTTTTTTAACTGTCGCGTCGTACGATAGAGAGCTCGTGTCGGATAATTAAATATCTTTCGTATTTTTTTTATTATGTACGCTTATGCCGTTTATACCCCCATTGCGGATGCGATTAGTTGTTATTCCTTCTAATGTCGATTGCGTGATGCGCTGCCATTAAGTCTCGTAGAGGGTATGTGCGATTTTTTTTTTAGCTTCTAAGACGTATCTGTTTCCCCTAGAGACTTTCCGAAACTTTGTGCGAGAGAGTAGTCACATTTCTTCGCATTTGTGCCCTTGAAAATTGATTGAACGATTTAAAAACTTTATGTTTTCGAACAGATGTTCGATCGTTCTCTATAGACGTTCAGGTCGAATAACCCCGCAATCGCTGTCGTTTGAATCGCAAATAGACTTGTTCGTATAATTAAATCGTACTAAATTTTGCTTTGCAGGTTTTGCAGGAAATTCCGAGGAGCTTTCCACATCAGCGATCAAAGAGTGTTCGTATTAAATGACGTCAAAATCGTCATTGTGAGCAATGATAGAATTATATCTTTTTGTACCAATGGGTGACATTTCGTAGCTGTTGGAATATTTATATTCTTTTTCTATTGAGAACTCAGTCGTTATCTATTTACATTATTGACATTGAGAAATGCCAGCACCACCTCCACCTCTTTCAAACTTACCTGGAGCACCCATGTGTGAAAAAACAGAAGACACTGACACAATGATACCAAACAATGATACCGACGATACCGATTCCCTGCCCTCTTGGGCTAAAATCACACTCACTCCCATAGAAACTGAAATTGAAACTCTCATTGCACGAAATGAATTGAAAGAAGCTGAGGTAACTTATTTCTGTCAAGTAGAGCCAATTCTTCAAGACGGGCCACAGTGAGTATTGTTTCACGTTCGTTATCTGTAAAAAAAGCTGGATCTTATTAGAAAAAATTATTAACACTGTTTTTATATATTATAATTTTATAGTTAACATTTAATTAATACTTTAGCATAAAATAATAAATATTCTCTGTACAGATGTGGTTTAGTAGCACTTGCAATGGCAGCACAAGAATACACAAAACCAGTTTCGGTAAGCCAACTTCTTGCTGAAGCTCGTGTTAGAGGATTTACGCAGCACGGAGAAGTATACAGTGTCGATTTTATGGGAACATTGGCAGCGGAATATCTACCTGATCACAGACCCGACATACTAGTAGATCTACAACAGTGTCCAGATACATTAACTCATGCTCTGGCACATGGAGCATTAGTGTTGATTCCTTATGACTCTGATTTCAATCATGCTCCGTGTTTGAAGAGGGGCCACAAAGCACACTGGGCATTGCTTGTAGGACTAATTAGTTCTAGGTATAATTTAATTAAGCTAATCAAAAACATTTTAATATTATTTCTAAAAAGTAACATGTACGTATGTATGTATGTATGGTTTTTAATATCTTTTAGACAAGGCTATCACGTTTTGGCACGGCACGGCAAGTCTCGTCATTTGGCTTGCTGGCCCTTACGAGATCTGATTGAAAGTAATGGCAACTTGGAAGAAGAGGGTACAGCAAGACATGCAGGAGGATACGTTATACCAAAGGGTGGTGTTGGAGGACAGAAAGGTTTACGCGGCAGAGCATTGGCATTACATCCATACATATAGAGTTATGTCAAAAAAATGTAGGTAATTGATAATACTAAGAAAAAGAGAGAGAAAACAATTTACCAATATGTACGATGTTACTTTAATCCGTATTACAGTACGACGTACATTCTCGAAACACAATACTGCACATACACGTACACACACACGCACACATACAGCTTTCGCAGGAGTCAACTAATAATTATATGTATAACATATGTGACGCTTTAATATGTACACTTAAATTCTCAATCAGTGTGTACGATCAAAACTGTACATTTACAGACTATTTTACGCAAATATTGATTGTAACATTTACTCACCGAAATCGTTTTTTCCCGCGTCATCAGAATCAGGAAGTGGTCTTTTTTATTTTCACTCACGAAGTATCACGATTGTAAATAAGAATTTCAGCAGGCCAAAGTATGTGCACGCAATCAAACTGAGACAATTGTCTTAAAATTACGCAGCTATCATATTGAAATGCAAGAAATATATGCATGTATGGTAAGGCAAATAAGATATTAAAAAAATGTTTACATAAATAGATATATACGAGTATGTATTAGTAAGCCGTTATCGAGAAAGATGATTGTGGTTGGCATTTTTTTTTTTATGTTGGTGCAATAAATAAAGAGTAAATCTGTTATAACGATTTTGCAACTATATTTCAGGCGATATAACTTTATATTGGCATGCTGTAATCGAATTTGATACATCACTCTTAAGTGAAATCTCACATACAGCATGTTTGGTTAGGTACTAATACATATAATTATAGACGTCTAGTTGAAATAGAAATACAAACTTGTCAAACTAAAAAAAAAAAAAAATCTTACACGTATGGGTACACACGCGTGCGTACGTGTGTGTTCACACGTGTATATGTATGTATGCATGTATTTTGAAATATTTAACAATGTGATATATTTTTTTTCATATTTAAATATGAAATATTTATTCTCTCTTCTCTAATATAAATCATTAAAATTTATATATAAGAAATTTGTTAAAACCACCACTAAAACTAATACTTGTTACTAAAGCTCGTCTAAGCAGTTTTACTGAAGCAATTTTAAGAATTATGACGCTGACACTTGTTTGCATGGTTATCGATATATCAACGGATTGTGATAAAATATTATTTGAGCAACGCTTTTCCAGTCGGTTGTAGCGCCCAAATATTTAGACTTTTTGCGTCACTTTCTTGCGAAATGCAATATTACGCGAGTTTCTGATGTCTTGACGAAATTTTATTTTTATTTTTTGTTTTATAAGTATAAATATTTATGTTTTTAATAATTATTTATTGCTTTATATGTGAAACTTAAGTAAATTATATTTTCCACAATATATGTAGATACACAATCGAAGACTTAAAAGGGATATATACTCAATAAGTGGCTGATCTATCTTCTCAGTCATATTCCGTACGTTTTTATATATATATCGAATCTATCCGTAATATTCGCGTAATAATGAAAGAAATCTAAAGAGATGCTATATAAATTTGTAGACTTGAAACAGTTTCGAATTAATCGAGAGAAGCCTTTAAAATGAATTCTACCTAAGTGCCGTAAAAGACCGAAGTCTATTTATAATAGAAAGTATATACATTACAGAAATACACACGCAGTCCTATTTTCAAGCTTCTCATTATAATAAAAGAAAACAAAATATATATGAAAGAGCGATGTTCCCAATTTGCTTCTAGCAAAAGAATTTTTTTATTTGTATATATGTTGGCATATAATGACATGCGTGTACATACGTACAAAAAAAGAAATTCTTATCTAGAAACGATTACGAGTACACCGCTCCATCAATAATATGACATTTTACCTGTTTTGTTTAAAAATACGTATTTTGCAGGTAACATAAGTGTGGCTGAAAATCATCTGAAAATTTAGGATGTTTTCGAAGCGATTTTGATAATTCTTAAACCGTTTGTGTTATTGTGTGGATAGTATCGAAAATATAAATATCTCTTTTTTCTGTAGAAATTTATCAAGATGTAAGCGCGATGTATGTAAAAGTATAAGAAAATGATGTCTTCCTTTATCATCGCGATACAGTCTTCATACAAATTTACAAGAAAACGAACAAAGAAAGCGGAATATGTACCAACACTGTGTAACACCACATATATATAATTTTAATTTATGTAAGAGTAAATATTAATTTAATATTTCACTGATTTATTTATATGTAAAATTATTTAAAGAATATGTTATAGTTTATAATGTAAAAACGATACAACTGTAACTTCTCTTGTTATGTTAATTATAATTTTGAAAATAATGTGTGTGTATGTGTATATATATATTTTTAGATATATATATATATATATATATATATAAACTGCGATATTTATATGTTAATTATATTGTTACAATTTGTTGAACGTGCCTATATATATTTATTTGATTAATATTTTTCTTAATTTAAAACTAAAGAGACAAAATACACATGAAAATTTGTATAACCGGCGTAGATTTTAAACCAACTCATTTGTATATAAATGTATTTTATATGTGTAAAAAGAGTATACATTGCATGTTATATAAGGTGACTGTATCGGATGTAATTTGGTGCTATGCTCAAAAAAGCGAAAAAAGAGCGCTACACGTATACGTGTTTTCTGAAAGAAGATATGGTTCTATGAAAAAAATTTTTATTTCTGCGCTACAAAATCTTAAATGTGCAACGATAGAGAAAGAAAAATGAATTGAATCTTTGCTTCTTACGAGAGATATATCGATTATTATAATGTATCAAACAACATAAAATGTGTGCGAACTAACGACTTTAGGTGTTTGTGTCTCAAAATTGGAGAAATGTAGAGTTGATTGTAAAAGCTAACCGGCAATGTACTCTTTTTTTTCGTTGTTGTTACTTTATTTTTTTCTGTATATTTTGTTTGTATATTTTATTTATCCTCCAATTGTAGACACTTGTTTTTGTCCACATTTGAATTAGTCGAATATATCATTTATATATCCTAACCGAGATTGAGAGGATGAGTTTATGTCTGAGATATTACTGTTACTGATACATTCGTTTGCGTCTGTGAGATTGTACGAGCTGCCGTTACTAAATAAAATGGCTCTCCGGACAGAGTTTTTTTTTCCTCTATAAGTTTTAAACAAAATATATATGTATATATTAATTAACGAGTTAACGTCATACAGAGCACTTTATTTAACTTACACATTTTAGTATGTTTGTTGTTATCAAGAATACAAAAATGACGAGCTTTTATTAAAAAAAAAAAAAAACAAAAACAAATTATCTACGTCACATTTAGTTTGTATTTGAGAACTATTTTTCGGTCTCCGAGCAAACCAAAGATAATCTCGAAAAAGTGTAATTCTAAAAAATGCTTATCAGTTTTCTCTATATTAAATAAACTTTTGCATTTTTATATTTAATTTGTCTAATAATTTATATGTTGAGCTTGAAAGAAATATTATGCGCTTAACTTTCTCTTCTCTTCTGTTTAGATTGCTCTCTCTCTCCTGGCAGTTTTTCATTTTTTGCTTTTTGCTCTATTAAATCTATAATTTTTTTACACAAACTCTCGAATATACACTCTTCAAAAGGGTAATATAAAAATTTCACAACACATACACCAACGTGACAGATACATTTATTGCGAAGTGTCAAGACACTTCTTTTATCGACACGTTTTCTTCTACGTATTGTAAGAGTTGCATAATATCCTAGAGCATATCGGTATAAACATTTGAAAAGCATTTTTAACAAGTATGTATTTATCATTGAACATCGAATTATTTGTTCAACACACGCGCGCGCACGTGTGTTCTCATTTTGTTTCAACATATGTTAATATCTACATGTAATTTATGTATATATTTATATCAGATATTATTTAATACTCAGAATTACATAATACTCAGTATATATGTATATTCACACACAGATAACATTTGGTACGAAGAAACAATTTTCACACAAAACTTTACACGTTTTTCTTGTGTTCGATTAATTGGAAATTATTTATATGCACAATACGAATAAAATAATAGGAACAACTTTAGTTTATTCAGTTTGTTTTGCTTTGTTATCTATTTCCCAGTAAAGTGTTTGTTTTCTTTTTATATTACAAATCTTTTATTTATTCAATTCTTGTAAATATTATTGACAACAATTCGTACATGTACACAATAAAAAAAAAAAAGAAAAGAAAAAAAAAAGACGTCGCGTAATAAGTACAATGAAGACGTCTACGTTCGTGAAAGTTGGAAACTATCTAATAATTTTTATCGAAAGCTTTAATATATATTAATTAATATTTCTTGTAATTTATTATTAATTATTGTAAGCTTTATCGTGAGCTTGAGCTCTGGCCTGCCCTTATACAATAAAATTTGCTGTACATAATAAAATAAAAATAAAATTTTCTAAGAAAAGCTTACAACAAACACGCCAACAGTCCTTTGCAATAGAATATATATCATCTTTCTCATATTCGAAACAAACGAAACAATAGATATATAAATATTTCCATGTGTTCAATCAATTATTCATCCAACAAAAGTGTTTTATTCACTTTTGCACATTTCGAAAAACTACCCGAATCCTATCGTTCCTTTGCAATCAGACTGTAAGCACGCGATTGCTACTCTTGAAATATACCTTACGAGACTGTAAAGAGTATAATATATTATTCATAATAATTTAATATTATTTAATTATCTTAATTGTATAAGTGATAAAGAGAGAAACGCGGAAAGAAGCGGCAATTATAGAATTAATAAACACAGGAACTACTATTCTTCACAATTCTTATCAAAAAAAAAAAAAAGGAAACAGTACTCATGCTTGAGTCGTAAAAGTCGTAAAAGTTTTACGCGCTTATATTCGAGTACTCTACTAAAATCTTTGGTAGTGTGCACTTTACAAAGCTCGGAAGCACATATAACACTCGTGAAAATCGAAGAGAAGTAGACAATTTGTTTCCTATTGTAAACGCTTTCTATCTATATTGCTTCAAAAACGTAAATAAATTAAATTACGTTTTTCTGATTTTATAAAGAGTCATTTTATCTAACGATATACATCTTTCGTGTAAATACATGTACGCTCGCCGTGTATGTTCAATATAAACTAAATGTCAAATGAAGAATTAGTATGCAGCAAGTTCGATTTGGCATCTTATTTTAAGAAAATACTTGCAAATAAAAAGTCAGTAAAGCGCAAATATAAAGAGAGAATAGTACACAGATATCACACAAGAAAAACGTTATGGATTTTAAAATAACAGACAAAAAAAATTTAAACCTATCCGATGTAACGTCGGGAATCTGCGTATGTAATAATAATTATATATGGCAGGTTTAATTGTTGAATTCAGTCCAGCACGCCCAGTGAAACAAGATGCATCTTCCTCTTTTAAAGACATATATATGTATCTCGCACATATGTATATACAAAATAACGGGTTTTTCCTGTTTTGTTTCTTTTTTTTCGTTTTGTTTTAGACACAGTTCTGATGAGTTTGATCAATAATACATATATTCGCAATTAATTATCAACAACTGCTGTGAGTTTTATCGTCAAAGACTATATCATTTTATGGCCACGTGTTTCTTTACACTATTTTCAGTATATATATATGTGTGTGTGTGTGTTTGTCGCGCACGCTTGAATATATACATCAAGGATCATTATTTTATTCGATAGTTTGGACGAACATTGTCATCAATCATAGACAATGTAAAACGTACAACTACGTATGTATCACTCGAGACACATTAACAACTAATTGCGGACTAGCGAGAAAGAGGAGCGCAAACGGAGATATCTCATCGTTATGTTTACTTTGGCAAGACACGATCATCACCAATGTCATCGTTTTAATTGCGTTATTGAGAGATATCGTTACATCATTTTTTTCTTGTTGAGACAAATCAGATAGGCTCTTTTGTCATTTAATTTGGCATTAGGCAGTCAGACAGTTTCATTACTAAAAACAGTACTCTACGCTAGTTTTTATATACTGTCGCTCCATTTATATAAATCTAAAAAGACAAAAAGTCAAAGAGGATTTTTTTTATGACTATCTTATAGTAACTCTTTTCGCTCTTGCAAATATTTGCACTTACATAACATTCAAGACATTTTAACATTTTTTTTATATGACTTGTAAAAAAATTTGTAAGCCTCTTGCAAGATTTTTAAGAACTAAAATGAACAAATAATATACAAACAATAGATAATTCAATTGTTTGAATAAAAATAAAAATGTTTTTCATAAAAGTTTGTTTTTAAAGCGGAAATATTTATATGTCGCATGTTTCAATTTCCGCGGCCAGAGAAATTTTGTTAAACAATCTCATCTAAAATGTACAAAAGCATATCAGAAAGCCAGATAACGAAAACAGTGTGTACAATCATTACGTATGAGCAATTTCTAAGAATTCTTATTTACATATTTGTCACATTATCTTCACAAGTTTCGTTTCCATTAATCTGTTTCTTTCCCGATTATACAGTACATTGTACAACACATAAATTTCTAATCTTGTGCGCTAAAGATCCGTTTGCCTGTATCACAGACTTTATCCATATATAATAACGCATTATATATATATAGTATCTGCGCGGGTTGTTTTTCTAACGTTCAAATGTGTATGTACAGCCTGCTCTACGTTATTTCAAACACCGAGCTGTGCCGAAATTACATGCACTCTTGTTTTTTATATATCTAATAAAAAATTAGTGCTGTAAACACAAAACTGTTCTGTTTTGCATGCGTTGAACACATCGCAAAATTGCTTCACTTCTTACTTACTATGGGCGCTTTCCAGTTAGCGACGCAATAGCCATTCTGTCTTTGTTCAATATTCAGCGAGAAACAAAGACAGAATTACTCTTGTGTCGCTAACTGGAAAAAACACTCTATATTCAAACAAATTGCACGTCACAACGATCTATAGATATCTACAAATATCTTTCGTCTTTTTAAAAAGAATATATATCTTAGTAAAATTAGAGAAGCGACAAGTTGCCATATGTGTTACAAATTAAAATTTTTTGCAACACACAAGTGTTCTCTGTCAATCAACCAAAAACTCTTCATATCAATGCATATACTCGATATATGAACATTGCTTGTGATATGTCGACGAAAGAATATATTAGCAAAATTTCTATAATCTTTCTCTCTCTCATATTGATGCAACTTATATATCTATGAAAAAGAGAGAGAAAGAGAAAGACACACATCTACATATAATTTTAACGTAATTTCAACGTAGAGTATGAGCATGTACTTTATAAATCATCTGTAGACACAATATCTATTTATCACACTATACACGTTGTATGTATAGGAGTATCCCGAGTATGTTCATCACTCTCTCTATCGTTATTATCAATTAATGGAATGAATACGCATCTCAAAATCAGAAATTTATAACATCTGCTATAATTCTAGTTCTTACCGGGCAGTCTTAAGAAGTTGATATTATCGTTTTTTTTTTTTTCCCATTCGAAACGAGTCAAATGTTGGTTATCGATAATGATGCAAAATATGTGAGTTACCAGAAGTCTTCATAAAAAACAACAAAAATTTATGTAGCGGTTGAGATTTGTTGTTGAGGATTATATTCCAATAATGCTATAGGAAACGTCTTGATGTGCGTTTGCCATTGCGCTGATAGTTGGAAGAATTTTACTCCGTACCATTCGGTACCGTCAATACTCACTGTACAACGAAAATTAAATGTGATCATATATTATACTTGTATTAACAGAATTGCATCTCGATATAAAGATATATTTTACCTCTCAATGGAATGTTGTGAGTTTTTGCAGAACATATGAGACGTGTTACGCCATCTACCGTTTGACTCTTTGGCTCACTTTCTTTTTCTTTCTCTTTCTTTTTTCCCAGCCTCATTACTGCAAAAAAAAAAAAAACATTTTTAATGCACAGAACAAATAAAATGTTTATATTTTTGAAAATCGTAGAAACATTTTTCTTACTTTTTTGCTTTTTCTCTTTTGTGGTGTAATTCATAGACAAATGGTGTCCAGGAGCTTCGCCTAACGAGGGAAGTCTTTGCACATGTAACGCTCTGAAAGCTTGGCGCAACGTGTTCTTTCCTTTTTCACCTTGAGTCTGTTTACCCCAATAATCCAGCTGAAGTTCAACTGGTTCCCATCCTTCTCTTGCGGGCTGTCCTACGTTAGGACTGCTAGGTGGTGTTAACTTCCCGGGAGGTGGAATGGGTAACGTAGAAGGAGGCAAAGAAGGTGGAGAGCCAGACATGCTGATGTTACTTTCTTCCAGGTCAACAGATGCGGAAGAACTGCTGTCCGGGCAACCCACACGAACATCGTTTATAAAGGGAATAAAAATTTGACTGCTGTCATCAGTTTCCCTGCGCACATTAATTAAACATGCGTCTTCTCAATTTCCGTTCTCTCAAAAAATAACTTTCTTTTAAAATAAATTTTCGTATCAATTACCTGTATGTAACCATAGCTTCAGCAATAGGTAGCAATAGAACCGTGTTTGATGCCGCCAGATATTCTGATACGCGCGCTGCACTTTCACTCGATCCGCCGCCTTCTCTTTCCAGTACCTCTTTCCATTCATCTCCGAATAGCATGGAATATTTCAAGTCGATAGAGCTTAAATATTTCGTTAACGTGTTCGAACCGAGTGGCACCACCAAGAACTTCATATAATTTTGCCAATCCGGCGGCTTAAAGCTTAACAAATCAACGTAGTGACGGAGAACCGCGTTTATGAAGCTGTCTCCACCAGCAATAATCACTTTTATGGGTGCCGGCGGTTTTGCGGAACTGTTGCAACTAAAAATATATAATTTTTATCGTTAAGAAATTTACAGTAAATGCACTTTTTTTCTTAATAAATCTTTTCTCAGGAGAGATAATTACAATTTTTGTATTCGTGCTACTAGACACGTAAACGTTGCACGAATATCAGCCGGAGAAGCCGTCGTCAAAACTTTAAGATTCCTTTCTTGGAGTCTCGCGGCAAGAACCGCACCACCGGGATCCGCTATCGATACGAGCGACACGGCTTCCGGCAAACTATCGTCTGGTAATACTCGACCGAGTTGCTCAACTAAAGCTCTTCTCGGCTAAGATTACGAGTCAAAAATAATTTAAAAATCTTTTTTTTATTATAAGATTACATCGTATATATTTTTGTCTAAACATATACTATTTCATTCAACACCACCTTACTTAGCATATCCAACTGTACAACAAAAGAAAAAAAAACATCTAATTACCTCAGTATTTAAATCGGATGAAGGTTTCAAATCAACGCTCAGACTGTGCTTTTTAGATTTATTACTTCCGGGCGTTCCCCTGTCGCGCGCAAAAAGTCTGCTTCTTCTCTCGGAACCTTCGGTTTTGTTAGGCTGCTCCGATTTTGGCGGCGATCCCGCTACGTAATTCGGCGGATCATTTGCCTCGTGATCCGTCCAATTCTCAGGATGAGAATCACTATCGGCTCTTCGGGAGCTGTCATCGCTTTGCCTGTCCACGCCACGTTCTGCAACGAAATGTTGTTACTTCCTATCGGAATAACGTAGTTAATGCTTGAAAGCATTATTTTGAGATAATATTATACAGATTTTTCGAAATCACCGATATTTATTTTCAGAGACTATTTATATATATATATATATAAATTCTCGACATTAAACAATTAGCAATCAATATCAGGCTGCTCTTCAAACCCTGATGAAGTGAGCTGTAATGTTCACGAAACGTCGGTATAAAAATGACACTAACGCGGTTCAAACCCGAAAAAACATCTTTGTATGTTAATACTACACACCGCGAAAGCATCAAATATCAAATTAGGCAATCTCTCTAACATTGCAAGTCTCACATGTATTAATACATTTATAACATAAGATTTATTTACATATCAACATAAAAAAAATATATATAGTTATTTTCTAGTTTTACGATTAAAATTTAGAATATCGGTGTTTTTGAAAATTTCTGTATTCAAGTTAGATAAGTGTGAAGTGTGATGAAAAGCACTGCTATTGTGCCACGTATAGTAAATTGCACAATAAAATACGATAGGCGCTAGATGTGTCTTCATATACTTAAATTGTTAGTTTCCGATCGAACTCATCGTATTTAAATATTCGCGCATTGTGTGTGTGTGTGTGTGTCGTTATATAATACCCAAAATTTAATTTCCACATTAAATATTATTACTTATCCTTGTATTTGCGTAGCTGTGTAAATTCAATTTACGAGAATATCTCAAAATACGATGTGTGCGATGCGCATTTGTGCGTGAAGAGACGCCTGGTGTAAATACAAATCGCAATAAAACAGCAGTAATTAGGCGCGTCAGAGTTAAGATCGCTCAGAGACCAACTTATCGAAATTCACGATTCAACGCGAGAGAGATTTATTACGGGATATTATTGCAGATAAGAAATGAAATCGTGTGAGGTGTTGCAATTCGCAGCATTGTTAGAAAGCAAAAGTACAAAAGATTGACAGAATAAAGGATACGTACGTATACAAGTAGATAGAGAGATACAGGCCAGTATCACAGATCAAAGTTTAACAAGATTTACATACAAGAAGCCGCAAAGAGACACACAGCGCATGTAGAAGAAACACGGATTCTCATATTACAAATGTACATATACATCATATATTTACACTGCGACTCCTTTTTGTAAAAAAAAAAAAAAAAAAAAGCAATACAATTTACGCAAAACAATTTACGTACTAACAATAAATGTAAGGAAATCAAATGTCAACACAAATTTATTTTCGCATTGTGACTTACATAATATATCGATACAGATTTATGTGTGTATCCTTTTAGCAAATTACTATTTTAATTCAGAAAGAAATGTAAGAATAATAGAAGATACGAGATTGAAAAGAGCAACATGCTATGCGTGTATAAATTACATTCTACACACACAAATTACAAAAGTCAACTACGTTACACAAAGCATCTGATATAAATTTTGAAGTAAATAAAGAATGAAAGACTTGTGCCACTTCAATTATTCTTGCATTTAGCTTTATATTAGAAATACGTTGCATCACACATTAAGGGGAGAAAGAGAGAAGAATTGATATATATAATTAATATATAAGTATTTTTTAATATATATGTATATTAAATATTTTATATATTAAAAAATACTTATATATTAATTATATATTATATACATTAATTACTTTTTGTTCGCGCGGGTAAGTGTAAATCGCGAAGCCACTTAATTACCAAATGTGATTGAAACACCAAGCTTCTGTCGATTAGCAAGGTCATTCATGCGCTGGAGTTTCTTCTCCAATCTACAAAATTGTTGTCGCTGAATTTCTTTCAGTTTTTTTTCTTCGACATTTTTATATTTTATTAGAGATACAATATATTATTATAAAAACAAAACCTCTTTTTCTTCTCGAGATCTGAACGAATTTTTACTAAATTCACACATATTAATATTGCGTGGGAAAAAATTAAACTCAAATATTGATATTGAATATGTCATTCAGAGATTTCTCTCTTACATTGTGCATGCTATGTTCAAACGCAAGATACGTGCTGTTGGTAATAAGAAGCGGAGTCTTTAAATTTTCAACTAATCGATTCTCTCGTAAGATTACAGAATTGAGAGATGACATTTACATACCTGGAGTGGTGTGTCCAATACGATGCTTCTCCTTAGTTAGTTGACTCACGGGTTGTTGACTTGTGGCAGTCGTCGAGACAGTTCCAGTGTCCTCGCTGGTTACTACTATCGAATCGTAACATGCAACAGTGCAAAGCCAACCCACCAGATTTTCACTTAGTTTAGAAGATCTGTATCTGAGTGAGCTATGAAATTTTTAAGAGCCTACATCTTAGATAGTTCTTGAATACTTTTTTCCTTACACACTTTAAAAAAACAACTGCAACCAAGGATTTTTTGCACTCTGCTTGTTTAGCCAAAGATATGTATCACTCCGTTAATAAAAAAAAAAGCCCTGTTTTCGCCGGCCTGATAGTGATACGCATATGTATAAAAAAATATTTAATTAATTTCTTTAATCAAAAACATCTGTTCTTAAAAATAATATGTTAATAAAAACTTTGGATAAATTTGCAAAGATATTTGAACTGCAACAGCCACATCATGCTGCTTTGCCAAGACATCAACAGCCTAATTGAATCATAAATAGTGATACACTTTTGGCAGTTACTAATCGTTTATTTTTAGACTTTATTAAATGTTTTGACGTTTTATGTTATAATTTAAATATTGGAGAAAAAGAGAACAATTAAATTTTTGTTTCACTACTTTTAATTAACTGCGAAAAGTGAATGCTTATAAAGTGTAATTGATATTCTATAGCAAAAGCATCAAACACGACGTGTTTTTAACGAAATGTAAGTTTAATCCTTACCGTAAACAATGTTAACGTATGAGTTAATGTGATACCAATATTTGCTTTAACACAACATCGGCAATGAGATATACACTCTCTAATATAAAACGATAAAATATCTTGCCACATGTCGCATGTTACTGTTTGTCATGTGTCACACATTTTATCTAGATACGCAAATAAATAAACTATACAGAAGGCCTTACCAGAATGAGGTGGCACAAGAAGAGATCGACTAGAGCTGAAAAAAGGTCTTAACGACGGTTTTGGTGTACTACTAACAGACATGGTGTCCAATTCTGGTCCACTGTCCGACAAGTCTTCTAATTCGTCAAACAATTCTTCTATTTCCATATCGCCACCTTCGACACAAATAAAAGTAGATCGTTTATACGATAGATAATGCGTTTACTTTAATTTTGATTGACTGGGTTTAATGAAAAGTTTTAGAAAAGTTTCGTTAATGGTAACTAATTATTTTTAACAACTACCTGACAATTTTTGTCCTATTTCTTCTTGATCGTGTTCCAACTCCTCGGATACTCTAAACCGCTTTAACAGAGCTATGAATTTTTGCTTTAAGTTTCTTTGCTGTAAAAAAAAAACAATGAACAAATTTACAATCTGATCCGATATACATGGATTGTTTTTTATTAAATTTTATTTCATGGAAATATTTTGCGCTCACCCTGGCATTTGTTGGGATCTTGGCGCGACTCTTCCGCCTGTGCACTTCCAACGTGGGTTCGCTGTCGCTACCTTCCGCCTCGCCCTCCGAACTGAATTCTTCCTCCTCGTCACTGAACTCTGGGCCGAGCCTCTCGTTGGGATCGTTTATCAGTCTTTTGTCGTGATCAACCGGCTGGGAGCTCAGAGCGACGACATTCACGCGCGCTAGCGGGACTGCATGGCCGCCGTACTTCTCCGCCTTGTCCGATATAAGTTCCAATTCGAGATCCATTTGCTTCTGCAGCACCTGTGTTCGAACATTTGGATAATTTCATCAGCACCGTAGTCAAAGTCAATGTTTGGCGTATAAAAATTACAACGCGATTACATCCCTCCTCGGTCGAATTTCAAGCTTACTTGTGCCATATTGATGATTCCTTCCGCGAGTGTTTTATACCCGAGCATCGTGCGGTTCTTATATCGTTTTCGTCTTTGCAGTAATATCAGAAGTTTATTGCCGTCTCTCTTGAGAAAATGCGGGTACTGAAGCGCGAATTGTAACTCTAGTTCTGTGTCGAGTATGCCGCCAGTTGGAATAGCCATTTCGTTGGAGCGTAATGTTCTCTTGGAACTTTGCATCTTAACTGCGATGCTAATGGACGCCAAGTCCGAACCCAATGGCCGGAGTATCACTAGCCGAGTTAATGTCAAAGAACACAACCTGAAAAAGAAAACCGGTAACGTATTAGTTTGAAATTAAAGTAAAAAATTGCAAAAAACAGAATCAACGTTTACGAATAAATTAAATTTGATGACGGAGAATATATAAAAAATGAGATAAAAATAGAATTTTTATAAATTCTGATCGCGTATAATATTCTTCGAAAAATGAAACTCTTTTGTCCGATCGATTCATTTCTCTTCGTGTGTAAAATTTGCTTCTCGATAAAAGCGACAGAACTTAGGTATATCGAGAAAATCGTTGACGAAACCCTAATTACGTGCGAGGGTAGTAAAGTGGTTGTCTTTATTTATGAATAGGGTTTCCAGGGAGAGCGGGGGCAAATACTAAATATAACTACAGAGGGATAGAACCACAGGTGGCATATGTTATTATGTATGAGCGCATTTATACTGAATGTACTGTTTTGCTCGCAATACAAGGTCAATGCACACGAAGGGTGTATTTAATCCAATATCGATATTTCGCAAAATTAAACGTTTAATTTTCTTCAATATTCAAATGTAAAATTTGAATCTTCGCTTTGGTTTAATAAATTAGATTGCTCAGAGTTACTTCAAACAATTCAAATTATTTAATTGACGAACATATACATGTATTAAAATATTTTTAAAATTTTAAAACAGATATTCCGTGCAAAAAATAATACACATCAAAAAACGTATATAAATAAACAATAATATAAATAAAGAAACCATATTGAAGTAACAAGAAAACAATATTTCTAATAAGACTGTGTGTATTTCTCTTTATTACAGACGAGAGGAAATCTGCTCTTGTGTTTCGAACGTAATTCGCAGAAAATCTTTTTTTAGCAGCTTCTTGAGAGAATCAACAACTTTACATCCGGCAATGGCATTAACTACAGCTACGTGCGAATTTATGCTCGACTCAAACAGCTGACTCTTGCCAAATACATGTCAACCACAATTTGGCAGCACGACCGCGTCAGACAAAACTACGATAATTATATGTCATTATATCATTTGCTACGTACATTAATAGCATTCAGGTTCAAACAGATTTTTGAACATTTTAAGTTCTTGCAATTAACTTTTCTTTGTCATTGGTGTGATGTAAAACATTTTAAACGATATAATAATTTAAGTAAAGTATTTTATATAAGAAATGACACTTGATATAATTTTATATACGCATGCATGATTTCAATATTTTTAGAACATTGAAACGCGCATTTTATAAACTTATACAGTTACTCAAAAAAAAAACCAGCGAACCAATAAAGTTTACAAATTTTTTAATTTTTTAAAATTAACAATAATAAACAATAATTTATCTAAGATTTCGTTAAAAAAAATACAAAACAACAAAAATGAGAAATATCGATGAATTATTGAACGGGCGATTCTTCATCGCAAAAAGCGACGATCTGACAGTTTTCCGTTGACAGTTGCGGTAGTTTCGAAGTAGTCGCAAGTAAAACTGCGACGCGATGCGTCATCCGATTGTAATTCGATTGTGATGCGACACGATGTTTCATTCCGTTCGCGAGCAGACTCGAAAATTCAGTCAGGACGGACACTTTAAGTGACGACAAAAGGGACAATAGAAAATACGTCGTCGTCGAGAGTCTGAGAAACCTACTTAGCGCATCCATTACGTCGGAAATATCGAGCGAAGAGTTTCGCGAGTCGTCTCCGGGTTGCTGGGGCGAGATTGGCGCAAAACACGATATTATCTATTTACCTGGGTATGCAATTCGGAGGCGTGCGGTCCACTTCCCAGGTAGCAAACAGCTTCATTGGAACGGGCCGGGTAGCCGGGGCCGTCACCTTCGTCCGTTCCGCCATTTTTGGCCCAGCGGCCCCGGGACGCACACAAAACTTACGTTCCACCACGTCGGGCGGCTTGTACACAACTACACATCCACACTATCATACCTATCAATCTGTCTGTGGTACCGACTGATCGGCAACGTTCGTCGGTATTCGTTAACGCCCGATGCCGCCGCCCGAAGTCGCACGAAGTTACGCAGTGTGTGTGTATATTTATGTTTACATAAGTTTACAGTGCGTTTATATATTTTCCATTTTTTTTTTAAACGCACAATTCTTTTTTATTGTCGCAGTAGCAACTAATTAGATTATGAGACATCTGTCGGAAGTGGAATTTTGCTATAAATTTTTTTTCAGTTAAATTATGGAAATAAAAAAAATAGTGGAAGACTCTGTTGGTTTTCTTGATATAATATCAGTATATTTTATCATTTTTGTCAAGAAATAATCATACAATCGAGAGGCACGATAGTTTTTTGCCAAGTTTGTATGCAATAAGTCGCACATGACAACAAATTTATTATTTTCACCTAAACTTGCATAAAAAAACAAAATCCATATAATATAAAACTAAACATTATTACCAACATACTCGTTATAATATAAGTATTATCAAGCATTAAACAATAATGAAATCAATTCTATTATTTAACGCAATACATACTTTACTTTTTTCATTGCGAAATTATTTTATATGTCATTATATATAAAATGTTCAATCTGAACCGTATGTACATGACTTGTTTATTGTGTAATAGATACAACATATAAAATATAAATACTTTTGTACAACTTATAAATATTTTTGTAACGATAAAAAAAAAACTTTTAACTCAAGTTCTTTTTTGAGTGAGACCTCATAACTCTTCCAGGAACTGAAACAAACAAACATCGTATGTTCTTTTTTTTTAATGTCATTTCACATAATGATTTAAATGTTTTCTTGTATCTTCTAATAAAGTGAGGCGGCGGAAAATAGCTCGGTGGATCGATGCTAGTGTAATAAACGCTAAGCCACTTACAGTATTAAGATCAAATCTTGTTGCCTCACATTGCAAAAATATTAATTTCATTACATATAAAATGTTCAATATATGAACATGACTTGTTTAGTAATAAGTGCAACATATAAAATATAAATATTTTTATGCTACAACTTACGTTAAACATGCTATAAAGTAATAATAATAATAAAACTTACGTTCTGGAGTATCCCATGATATAAGGTCTTTATCAAAAGCATGCTTGCTCGAAGATCTCTTGCTGTAACGTTTCACATGAGGAGTCACGGGTAGTACTGGTTTATTTTCAGCACATACTAAACACGCTTCAGCTATGACAAAATATTTAATATACAAGGATACAAAATGGCACATAATATTAAGTTTGAATAGTAAATTTTCAAGACTTACCATTAAATGCGACACTTTTTCGAGTCGATTTTCTCCTCTTATCGGTATTATCTGTCACTGTTACGTCCTCGTCTTTTGTTATGTTCTCCTTATTTAGAGTTTCATGATTTTCAATTTTTATTGATGATTTTAACTTCTTTCTATTTACTTTTATAGAACTTCTGTCCTCTTCTTTATTTTCCACTTTTGGAATCATCTAAAGATTATTTTTATTAGTTGCAGACAATTGTGCAATTTTTAATATAATATAATTTCTAATATATATTTTTAATATAATTTTTAAAATAACAAAAACAATAGAAATATATATTACTTACTATAAATATACATTAGAAAATAAAAGTTGTTTTTTTAAAACAACTATCTTACCAATTTACTCCTTCTGTTTTTGGGAGTATCAACTGTAACAACAGTTCTATTTCTAAGTACTCTTACTTCTGGAGTACTTTTTTCATCATCTGATAATGGTTTTTCATCGGATAACAAATATGTTGTGTCGTTTAGCGGACACATGTTGGAATCTGACGTAACCTCAAGTGATTTCTGTGTATTGGGTTTGACTGCTTCTGCTTTCAACTTGTATGTCTCTAAACCTTCAGAATCATCGGAGTCACTTTCAAAATTTAACTTTCTTTCAATATCAGATTTGCGTGAATATACTTCGTCCATATTAAGCGCGTCTATTTTCCTGAGCGCAGCAGCTAAGTCTAATTTAGTCTGTGTTTCCTCATTAATAGGAACTTCAGTTAAATGTACTTGAACATCAAAATTTACTTTTTGTAGTGATTTTATATGAATATCTTTAGTTAAGTCTTCAGATTTCTTTAATATGCCCTTACCCGGAGTTTGACCAGAATTGATATATGTTATTGTGTCATCTAACTGAACTTCGGGCGTTTTTAACTTTTGACTTATTTTCATAAGTGCAAATGGACTCTTCGTTAGTTTAGAAGCGGTAGAAAATTGCACTTTTTGTACTGAATTCCTAAGACTCGCACGTCGACCAGGAGTAGATTTATTTTCCTTCGAATTCAGAGATTTACACCTTCTGCTATGTTCGGAATTAGTATCTTTTGTAAATATTACCGACTTTCTGTTACTTTGCGAAGGAGTGACATATTCCGCATTCAAATTTCTATCTTGCAGCATCTGGTCTTCTTTATTTAATGTTCCTGCTTCTATTTTCTTCTTTCTGGCAGCTAAGATCATTGATCTTAACGCACTTGGCTTCGATGATACACCCTGTTTTTTAGTAGGCTTTCGTTTCTTGACAGCAACTTTGGCGACAGTGTGTTCCTCCTCTTGCCATCCTCTGTTCTGACGCTGTTCAAGTTTTTCGAATCGTGAGTCGCAGTCTTTGACTTCCATATACGTCATATCCCAAAATCCTTGCAGATCTCTGCATGTAACTAACATTTCTCCTTTGCCAGCCTCACAATCTTTTACTAAGCCACGAAATCTCTCAAACTTTTTACTTATTAACAATTTTGTTTGTCCTACTGCTTGTTGTATTTCATACACCACATCTTCTGGAATATTGTCATCTGCTTGAATTGCCAACCATTTCATACACAGATCCTGAAGTCTATCTACTTCTCTATTTAACAAAAGTTTGAAATATTGGGCTGTACGTTCCTCATCTTCAACAGATATATTTAGATCTTGCATTACAGTATCTTTTGTTGGAATTTTGCCAAGTGATGATTTATGAATACCCAGCCGTTGCTGTTGTTCTTTTCTGGCATTTTTCTTGCCACGACTCTGTGTGATATATGGTGAAAATATGATGAGGTTCTCCGCATCATTTTCTTTCTCAGAAGATGTATTAATTGAAGCAGTCCTCTGTAATGATGGTGTCTTTATATCACTTTTGTTTAATAAAATTGTATTTTCTTGCAAAGAGTTTTTTGTTGTCTGTTCTTTTAATGACAACCTTGTTGTTATACTTTCGTTTAATTCAGCTGAGATATCTGGAGTGGAAATTGGTATGTGTATTGTTTTTGATGAAGTTTGTTCAATTGGTGAAGGCATGGAAGTAAATACTTCTTTAGTATTTATAACAGAGAGAGTTGAGGTGTCTGGAGTAGAAGTACGCAGTACATGCACTTTCTTTGATGAGTTTTGTTTAGTTGATGGAAACGTAGAAGTATGTACTTCTATAGTATTTGTAGAAGGACGTTTTAATTTTTTTGCTCCTACAGCTACTTGTTTCTTTTTATCAAATTTTAGTGAGTCTTTTGATTTCCTTTGCGTAAAGAAATCTCCTTTTTCCTGTGGGGTTTCTTCAATTGCTACAAGACCAAATAAAGGCATGTTTTGCAATCCTGATGGAGGTCTAAATACATGATTGACTGGAGCAAATGATGTTGGCTGTCTCTGTGTATTAGAAGTCGTTTTTTTGGTATTTGTGGTATGTTTTGACGTTGAAGTTATATTGTCAGAATTTATTTTACGTTGCAATCGCTTTTCAGTTGCTCTTGTAATTCGTTTTTGCACAGTATTTGACTGTGATGGTTGCTTCAATGATTTTGCAGCTGTGGCAGTAATAGTGTTACTTCTAATTACAGGAGAACATGTAGAATGGTGAACAATACCAACTTTAAATGGAGGTTTTTTATTACGAGCTTCTAATTTCTTCTTTCTCTCACGCTCTTCTTTCCATTTCATCAATTTCTTTTGACGTTCATCTTTGGTATTGATTACATCTTGTACCAATTTCTTTGTACGCTTACCTGTAATGTTAAATATATCTATTAAAAATAATGGAAGTCTCTGTTATTACATAATAGATGTAAGTAAATGTTCAGTATAAGAAAGGATGTTTCGATGACCTTGATCTTGACATATGTTGTCAAGGACATGTTCCTGAGTAACAATATAAAAGTTTTAGCCATCGCTCATTTTTTATTAAAAAAGTTATTAGCAAGAAACGTTTGAAAACCATGGTACTTATTTTTAGTAATAACATGTAGAGAATATTACAAAATAGAATACTAATATTTTTCCCTTTTTATTATATATAAAAACATTACATAGCGGAAATTATTTTGAGGCATTAATATGCTTATCATGAACAAATTGATGTTTTTCAACATGGCTAATTGTAAGTTGTACCCATTGAACAAAAACAATTATTCAATAAATGTATTACGAATACTGAACAAAAGTATATATTTACCACAATTTATTCAGTACTACAACTAAAGAGGGTAAATGTAAAAATATCGAACGTTTATAGCATAATATTCGAATGAGATTAATTCCACGATAATGGAAGCCACTCTTCCTGCAGGCGGACATAGCCTCCCCTGCTTACATACTTACAATACAAACAAAAATAACAGAAAAAGTAGTCTTAAGGTGTCGAAAAATGAAAATTTCTTAAAGAAATTTGATTTGTTTATAATTTTTTAATAAACAATAATCAACTAAAACAGTTAAAACCTTTACATTGTTAGAGACAGGAAAGTCAGTTGTTTACAATTCGTCAAGATCAAGGTCATTGAAGCATTCTCTCCTATACTGAACATTTACCTCAATCACAATAAACAATAAGGATCAAGAAAGTCATAACAAAATTATTCCTAACTGTAATAAAGCAATATATCTACTACTGTTTTGACCTTTTAAATTTTAAGTAGTCTTAACAGTTTATGTGGTTTGTTTGATTATTACATGTGACTAACAAAGATACTGTGTATTCAAAATATTTCATACTTCTTGAATGTTATATGTGTAATTAACTTATTGATTTATTAATAATAATTTACAAACTAATATTCTTAATTTTGTTCTTACTGGCTTATATATATATATATGTATATGCCAATATGTATATAAAACTATATAGATATATAGAAATTATATAGAAAATATTTCTGCCTGTGTATTATTTTATGATCAATTAGTATGCATATGTGTATATCTTAATTTGTAGCACAATTTAGAGATATATTTTGTATTCATATAATCTTAGAGCTTATATTTTATTAGCTAAAGAAAAAATGATACAATAAGCATATGGGTGCAAAGGCTGCACCAAAAGTGAATGAAGAATTTAATTCATATCAATCCAATTACATTTTCAGTCTCGTCATGATGCCAATCGATTAAAAAAAAAACTTAAAAAAATCTCGGTGGAAGTAAGTCGCAAACATTTTAGACAAATTATTATTACCAGGAGAAATGTTAGATAGTGAGGAAACATCTTCCAGCTTCCGATTCTTGTTAAAGGCTACCGTTCTGGTGTGCCTACGTGATAGATCGTGGTTGTAGGCACGCAAATTCCGGCTTTCCTCCGCGTCTCCGAATCCAAGGCGCGGATTTTTGTATTGTTGTTTAAAATTCGGCATTGAGTAGCGTTAACTACTATCCTAATTAACTCGAAGAAATCACACTGAAACACGTCAAGCAAGCACACCGCGTGATCATACGCCAAAGCGATATAACCGAAAACGATTTCAAATTGACGAGCAACACCCAGGCGCAGAGCGTCATGGTAATTGGCGCGAAAAGCTCTCATTGGCTAACTCACAAACGGCGAAGTCAGTCTAGGCTGTGTTCCAAATTTACTGCCAGCACGCTGCCAGTGCTAAAATTGTATAATATATGGGTGCGTTCAGACAACTCAACAGTTGCACAACGGTTGAGAGATAATCACTTCTGATTGGATCATACTTTTGGAACCGCAGCAGATTTTAAAGAATAATCCTATCATAAGTGATGATCTCTCAACCGTTGAGTTGTCTGAACGCACTCTATGTGACTTAAACTATAGATCTTTAGCGTTGGCAGTGAATTTTGAAACACAGCCCTAGTAAACGAAGCTGCGTTCCAAAAATCCCGTTCGAGCAGAATAACGGTTTCATTGACCAATCCGGACAAGAAGAACAGAGATTCCTTCATTTCTGATTGATCAATTAATGGAAATAATGTAAAAACCAGTTCCGTGAAAATCAACACCGATTGGTAGATGCGCAAGTACTTACCAATCACGGATGCTTGCAGTTGTGACGCGTGAACTGTGCAATTTCAATATCGCCAATGATAGCGATTATCATTTCGCTCTATTGGTTCTGTAATGGATTTCGTTTATTGTACGTACAAAGTGCAAATACAAACACGAGTGTCTTCGTGAATCAGCGCGCGAAGCTGACGAGGGTGCAACAACGAAACAAAAACTATGTATGCGATTGTATTGCTACCTGCGTGTGCTTGTATTATGTTACGTACCTACCCTTATTTATCGATAACTTTGTGGGAGTGAAACACGCGAACTCGGATAAGGAAAAGCTGGAAGTGACGCGTTGCGTCGTGTTAATTTTATACGCACACGGAAAAAGGCAAAAGCGCGCACGTTCCCGCGCTTTGGACGGCGCGCAAAACTCGTATTGTTTGCGCAATTTGCGACGCCGGACAGGAATCATCCGTCGGACATATTCCCGTCTCTGGGCGCGAAAGTTTTTTTTGTCACTGTGCGAAAGCTTGCGCGGTGGTGCTGGCAATTGAACGAGAGAGGAAGAAAAAAAAATCCAAAGTCGCGCAGCCGGCTTGTGTGTGAGGAACGCGAGATGTGCGAGGATCGGTAGTTACGGTAAACGCGAATAAAGGCTATTAAACGGAACGGAGAGGAGAAAGACGTGACGAAATGGCCACGATCTTGGGCATGACTTTCCCGAAAATGTTGAAGACGTTACGCGAAAATGGCAATGTTAAAGAAAAACGTGAGGTGTTAACCTATATCTCAAGGTAAAGTATAATGCATCGCGTCTGTATCTCGCATGTTGTTGTTCTGCGTGACAAAGACAAATCTCATGATGGTGGTTTCCGTAATGCAACAATTTTTGAATGGCCACACAAGACCAATCTTCTTCGAGATAAATCAATGACAAAGAAACATTGGATGTCATAGCTTGCACTTTTCTGTTTTTTTTTTTTTTTTTTATTTTTTGTACATACAAAGACAGTATTTCAAATGTCAAGAGCGTAAGGACGTGTAATTCTAAAGTTTATAATTGATTTATTTCTATATATTAATGTGTGTTTTTAGTTTGATAATGGATTTAGACAAGTTCAGTCGTGTTTGTCATTATGATATTTTGTTTAGTATATTTTTATGTTATTTAATGAAGACATTAATGTTTATACATGAACACAACATACCTCTATTTCATTTTTAATAATAAAAAGATGATATATTATTCTCGTAGTCAAGCTAAAAAATTAGAGTTGAGTGGTGTAATCAAGGAAGAACGATATAAGGACTTGTGCAAAGTGGTTGTGGAAGCATTTACAAAACATGAGGGAAATTTACAGAACGAGGCATTAAGAGCTCTCACTGTCATTGTACAAGAATTCAAAACACATTCTTTACATCTCTTTGAAGCAATGTTACAAACAGATAAAAAAACAAGGTTTGCCTCTGATATTGTTTGCAGAATTTACTAGAGAGAGATCTAGAGTTTAGCAAGTTTATTGGCTTCTTTGACTTTTAATTTTAGATTAAAAATACTCAAGTTGCTGGAAGTAGTAGAGGACAATGCTGTCACTGAAGTTGTCAATGACGATCAAGCTGTAAACTTTTTTAAAGACTGCCTACAAAATGTACAGCCTAGTTTAATGGAGTGGATAAAACCAACGGCTTGTGTGGATAACTTGGATATGTTGACAAGAGTTGAACAACAAATAATGTCCGATGAACAAAAATTAGAAGAGGATGTGATAAATTACTCACTTAGTCTTTTGAAAAGATTGTACAAATTAGCTTCTATGACATTTGATCAAAATATTCACAGGGTAAATGTGCAGAATTACATTACAAAGTTTATTAGTATTTGAAAGTGTAATTAAGATGAGAAATAAGGTTATTTTTTTATATTTTAGTTTGATGAATTACTACTGGATAAAATAGTAATGTTGGCCTACATGGGACATAAACGTCAACGAGTTTCTGCTTTGAGAGTTTTACAGCAAGCTGTTGTAACTAATTCATCATCTTATATTTATAAAGAATATCCTCAGTTGTGGACGCAGTATAAAAACAATTTGCAATCCGTATATTGCAAACGTATGTTATTACTCGTATCAGCGTGCGAAGCTGATTGGGCTCTTCAGTGGAACACTACTATTCAGTTTCTTGGAACAGATCTTCATTGCGGTGCCAGTTTCATCAATAATTTGCTAAGTGTTGAAGAAAAAGCTTTCAAATCTACCGATCCTATTATAAGAAGGTAAAAGAACGATTCTGTAAACTGATTAACACATTGTCTATAAAATAGAGAAAGAATAATCTAATGTTGTGCTGTTTTTACAGACAAGCTTTTCTTTCATGGAAATTGTTGATTGACAATTTTGCTTTAGATCATCAAGAACTTGCTACTCCCAGAAGAATAAAGTTATTGTGTATCCCATTAAATGCCAAGAATAGTAAAACTGAATTAATTGCACTAACAAAACTAGAAGTTTGGTGGCACTTAATTATTAAATTGTACAAAGACATTGCAAAATTTGCTACACCTGTTATCACACAATTTTTAAACTATTGTTTTGGACCGCTTGGAGATACACCTCTGCTTTCTTTTAAATTTGATGTTGTTGCATCTCCGGGCAAGAGATTTTTAAAAACAAAAGTGGTTGCTGTAGATGCCTTATGTCAGTTAGTTGTCAAAAAAGAAGATCTTATTGCTGTTTGTGCTCCAATGTTAGAAGAAAGACTTCCCCATCCTATATCCGATGAAGTGTTTCAAGAGTGTACCAAAAGCGTCATTCACAGTATAGGAGAGGCTCTGCTCATTCTCGGTCAACTTACAGACCAAGAAATGAAAAATAGTTTCCAACTTGGCAAAAAATTATGGACAAATTTGTTGACGTATATAAGCAATACGAAACTTGAAACAAAGGTAATTAATATATATTTGATATATTTTGTGTTATCACAAAAAAATATCTAATCTCAGAATTACTAAACGAATTATGAAAATTATAAAAATTTTACACATTTTTAAATTTTACAGGACCATTTGTACAGGGATGTGATATTAGTTATAACTGAATTAGGAAATCATACAGATAAACAAATGATAAAATTGATGATCTTTAATGTGATTTTACCGGACATCATAAAACACATTGTTAATAAGGTCGAAGGTCACGATAACATATTGTCAGAAATGGTATTAAAACTTCTATCAATTCCAGTATTTAAAGAAGTGCCAAAGCTTATTCCGTACGTATATGTTGAATTAATTATCTGGATTGTCTGTCTACAATATCTTACCACATAGGCGCATTTTATAATTTTTAAATTATAGGGACTATTACAACACAGTGAAGTGCCTTCTGACACGGTGTATTAGTTTGAAAGAATTTCCACATTCTAAAGGTTTGTTTGATTTTTTGGAAACAGCAATACAACATGTGAATGCAACGAACGATTTAAGAAATAAGTAAGTCCAAAACGAAGATTCAATTTTAAGATTAAAACTATTATGAATAAGTGTATTCTCTCAATGTCGATGTTTAATAATAATATTTAATTTATTAAAACAGGGTAGCTCTAAATTTAGGTAGTATAACGCCATCACCCAAACTAAATTTATGGGTTCTGATGTCAGAAATAGTAACAAAATTTTTAGCAACAAACTCTGATATAAGTGAACACGACAAGTTTTTTAAAACTGTGAAAAAACTTTTGTCATTGCCGTTTCAACATTCCACGGATAATCACGCTCAGGTTTATATAAATTTCAAAAAACACTCTTATCTCAATGTTTATTTATTGTGAATCTTTTTTATATATTGATAATTTATTTATAGTTGCAAACTCAAATAACTACGTGGAAAGCTTTATACAAACAGTTCGAGTCGCATCCAGCTTTGACAGTAACACCAAATAGAATCGTACTGGATATTTCAAGTATGATGCGAAATTTTTTGATCGCAAACAAATGTTGTTACACTTTTGTTATAAACTGTCTGGATGTTTTATTGGAAAGCTTTAATTACATGTATTTACTAGGTATTTTAATTGTTGTTACATAGTTGACTATTCAATTTAATGTCCAAGATTCAATCTGTTATATAATCTGTTATATATCTGCATAAAATTTTTCAGGTCAGGATGAAATTCCACCCATTTTACAACTGATATTAGACATTGTAACAATTTCTTTTAATGATATACAAAATACAAGACCTGAATTAGCTCTGAAGACATTAACCACTATTCTTAATGGCGTATATAATCACAATATAGAAAAAACAATTTTGTATCTACATTGTTGCAGACCAACAATTGAATTTATTCTCACATCGCGAATAAAAGGACTTTCTAAAGAAGTATGTTTTCACAAAGCGCATTTGTATATTTATTCAATATATGTAATATATAACTTATAGATTCTCATTTTTTATATTCATCACTTTATTTTATAGATCACAACTATGTGGAAATGTATAATCAGCATTTTTAAGGGTCTCAAACAGCAGTTGAATCATGAACTTTTATTGTCGTACAAAATGACATTCGTAGCAGCTATGTGTCATCCGAACTCTGATATAAAGTCTGCGACACAGTCCGTTTTTGAAATAAAAGATGGCTTAAACAATAAAGCTAAGAGCGCGTTGGAGGAAATAAAAGAAGCTGTAGAAAAATCTGCATCTCATTCAAAGTCTGACATTAAGAAGAAACAAACAACAGAAGGAGCGAAAGAGGTTCGTATGTCTAGGAGTATTTTGACTAGAAAATCGACCAAAAAACTGGCAAAATCCGATAAACCGGCGAAAAGTGATAAAGCGTGTTTATTATCTGAGCCTGATTCGCAAGTAAATAATTTTTGTTTTTTTATTTTACACAATATATATCATCTTTATATTTTTTTCCGATATTTTTTTATAATCCTTACATTTGCGCGTGTTGCAGGATTATGTGTACATAAAAACGGAGTTGAAATTTGATGTCAATCGCTTGACCGAGCATCAAAAAGAAACTTTAAAGAAAAAGAGAGAGGATATACCAGCGTTGTACAATGATCTCTCTCAATCATCATCGCAAAACTCGCAAAATCTGCAAGAATGGTTTGATATTAAAGCCAAGCATATTAACGAATTGGACAAAAATAACGGTAAGACCAACGGTGAGGCTAACAAGGAAAACAAGGGTAGCGGTGCACAAACATCGGAAGAACTTACGGATATGGTGGCAAAGTTAGTTGACAATATAGTTAATAACATCCATAAGAGTAAATCAGAAGAAAGCAATGTTGAAAATATCATTAGCCCAAAACAAAACAAAGAGTTAACAAAAGAATCAAAGAAAGATGATTCTAATGAGGAACGAGTTAAACGTACAGACACACCGAAGCAAATCAATTTGTCAGTATCCGTGGCATCTTCTAGTAAACAAAATATATCGTTAGAAAAAAATGAGGAAACAAATACCTTGATATCTGTCGCAAAAAAATTAAATTTCGAATGCCGAGAGGAATATCCCGAACAGAAAATAGAACGATCATCGTCCCCGTCGATGTTAGACAGTACGAAACGACGTCGTTCGAATGTAATAAAAGTAAGTTCGTCTTCGAAAAATGAAGAAATCGAGAAAGAGAAAGATCCAACGAATTTTGTGCATAACAAAACATTAAGAGACATTCAGGGAAAACCTGGCGCGAGCAATAAACAATCATCGCTCGACGACAGTGATATTAAAGACGGTGACAATAGAAAAGGCGTTAAACGTAAATCTACGTCAGATACTGAATCAGACGTCGGAATCATGCAACGTCGAAAGCGAAAAAGTACTGGCGGTGAAACGTCACAGAGCAGTGATAACGTACCTCCGGACATAAGTATAAGTCAGCGTACGAAAAATGAAATGTCTCGTTTAAAAATCGACATGGTGTTTGATTGTAATTCAGCAAATCGCCGTCGAGTCAAACATTTGGATGACGAAAAAGAGACGAGCTTGTCTGGAGTGAAAAAATCTGATCAAGCCAAAAGGCGTAGAAAAACAATCACAAAACAAACAAATAAGAGTAACTCGGATGTTGTCGAAAAATCTGACGATAATGCTGACAAAGACTCGGAAATTTCGTCTGATGCAAGTACGACGACCGTGTCTTCAACGTCCAATCAAGAAGTACAAGATGTTACGATTAATAAAATACAAGATAAAAAAATTGACGAAGAAAATTTGGAATCTGTCTCAAGTGAAGAATCTGCGGAACTTCCTGAATCAAACGAAAAGACTCGAGATGACGTGGAAGATGTTGTTGAGAGTTCACAAGTTCCTAGAAGCGGATCGTTATTAGATAAATTATGTAGCGAGAAGCAATGCTTTATTAAGATAAAAAAAGTAACGAATGTTACCGCTATTAAAACTTCCGATACAATTGCTGAAAAAGATTATGTACCTGAATCTACTCTTATGGATTATGAAAATGATGTGCCTGAGTCATCCGAGCAACAAACAAGTGAAAATAATTCCAAAGATAATGTGGAAACGAATGACGAAGAAAACAAAGATGGTGCTAGTACAGATCCGATTCAAGAAATTGATCATTCGATTACAAAATCTACAACTGTAGTTTCGGAAAATCAGAAAACACTCGACAATTTGTCTTCGAGTAAGTTTTCAAGCATTTATTCCTCGCCAAAAAGCACAGGCAAAGTATTTTCCAAGTCCAAGTCGTTTACTGGACGTGCCGCTCATATGTTGGGTTTAGTTACGAAGCAATCTCTGATCGAAAGCGATTTAACATTTGATGACGAATCGATAATAAGGAGAGCGAGGCCCAAGGATGCAGAAAACGAAACGTCAGCGAGCAAAAAAATGTTAGCAGTTAAAGAAATAGATAAAATAGGTGGCCCTTCCGGTAGCCGACAAGAAAAGATGTTCAGCAACATGAGATCAGTTGATTATTCTCCATCGAGACACACGTTTGCCACTTTGAAGAATGATGGCGAGAAACTTTCGTACAAACTGGAGAAAATTATGTCCGAATCTTCATCGTCAATAGAAACGTCAGTTGACAAGGAAACCGAAAAGAGAGTTTCACCTTCTCGTGAGAAAAGCGATCTACCAATACTGGAATGGTCGAGCGCTAATCCACCCTCGTTAACCGCATCACCAAGTGCTAGTATTCTTAAACGTCAACGATCAAGCGTATCGGAACTGGATTCAGATTCTACTCCTAATAAGCGAAAGCGAGTAAGCTTTGCCGATCCGCCTGTTTCGAAAGAGATGGGTTACGAAATCTCCGCTACGGAATCTCCACAAAAACCATTCAAATATTCTACATCACATAGTCCTATGTTGAGAAGGGATTCGCCGTTTAGATTCAAACAAAGCAGACTTAAACCACTTGATGTTGAGAAAATAACGGTTGAAAATGATGCTCAGCCTGAAGGCAGTTCTGAAATTGCTTCAGAAACCGAGAAAAAGGAGTCACCAATGAAAAAATCTGAAACATCTTTCGAGATTATGAACGTTGATGAACAAGTATCTAGTAATGCTGCAAAGAGTGATAGTACCGCTGAAATAAATTTCCGTGCGAAAATTATCGTTGACGAAAATCTAGAGTCTACGCAGGAAGTTGAAGTAACTACGAATTCAGCAATTCTTCTTATTCAAGAAAACAAACAGATTTCACCGTCAGAAGATTCTGCTAATATTGCAGATGTCGCAACAGAAGATTCCGAAACGCAAGACATCTTTGATACGAGGAGTAATACCCCACCAATCTGCACTAACGATGATGCTCCCACGAAAGATGATTCGGCAAACTCTATCAAACTGGATGTAACCAATGACTCTGTGATAGCAGCTTTATCTACCAAAGACGATACGCCAAATATGGAAGACACTATAGATGTTGCGAATATCACCGGATTGACGTCTGTAAATACAGATGAGATATTTTGCGGAAAACTGATACGTACCAGCACACAGGAGATGGAAAACATAGCGGAACAGGACACACTGTTAGTAACGGATTCTTTGTTTGAGAGCTTATCATCAGTAAGTCAAGAGACTGACAATAATGTGGATCTTGATCCCGAATATCTGAATTCCACACAACCCATCTATCCGACATTGTCATCATGCGAGGAATCTATCAATTCGATTCTCGGACAGTTGACTTATCCTTCTTGGACGGGTATGCTAGGTTCATATCTAGAGAATAGAAGTGTGCGGACAATTGGTGATCTTGCCCAGTTATCGGAGCGCGAAATCAACAGATTACCTTTGAAAAGCAAATCAAAAATTAGCTTAGTGAAGGGAGCGCTGCAACATTTCGAAAATAAGAGCGTGTCACAAGCAAAAGATAATTCTTCGAATATCGAAGATTCACCGTCGCTCGTAGAAGAAACAACAATAGTGGCAACAACATCTGACGTCGAAGCAGCATCTGTGACAACCGAATCCTTGAATTCTAGTACGTCGCTTAACCAGTCGGTATTCGAAAAACTCGATGATTCATTGAGAAAGAAATCATCTACAGAACAAATAGATGAAACAGATTCTCTCACCAGTGACATGGAAGTTTCACCGGAACACGTGTTCGTGAAAAAAATCGATTCTCTAGTATCCGCAACTTCTACGGAAGATGTAAAGACGAGCACGAAGGTGTCGATCATTGCTGAAGATGTCGATTCACCTAGAACATGTACAGATAACGCTAAGTCCATGTCGTTTTCAGCCTTTGAGAACACGTATGTAATCTTTTATATTTTTATTTGATAAGTTATTAGAAAATATTTATAAATTGTTAGCGAAACTCGTATTGATAGACGATTGATGTAAACAATAACTGTTTAGCGATTTGAGCAGAGAAACATCATCTACAAGTGCCAGCGTAGATGTGTCACAAGTCTCTATCGAACCTTCAAGAGTGTACGATGAACTTCTCATCACGCACTCGTCCATTGGAACCAACACCGACGAAGTGAATCTCTCAACCCCGACCGTTCAAAAGGCTACACGGTCAGTGGAATCTCAGATGGCGCTTGAAGAATTATTAGACGAAATTGATGTAAACTTGGTACTGGAGAGTGCAGTTAGAAGATGCACTCCTGAGGCACTTATGACTCATTACAAGGTAAATATTCTTTGCTTCGTATTTTTGACTGATTACATCAATGTGTTGTCAAATAGATAAACAAGATTTTGCTTTTCAGGGGAAGATGGGACTTTTATCAGAGTCGGACTTGATAAAAGAGACTCTCAAAATGCTCTGTTTGCAGAATACACAACGACTCAATGACGCGTCATTGAGGGCAGCTTGTCACGCATGCGGACTCAATAAAGTACTTCTCAGATTACCTGACATTTTCAGTAATGACAAACAGTTCTTTGACAAGGTACTCAATGTGTACAGCAAGAAGCTTAACTTGGACAACTGTTTGAATATCTTCGATTTTAACGAGGTGAAAAAGACCGTTTCTCAGAAATGCACGTCATCTGAACTTGTTGAAATGCTATCGGAAAAATTGAAGGAAGAAGAGAAAGAAGGTATCAAGCAACCTATGCCGGAACTATCGAGCCTAGACGCCATGTTGCAGAGATTACCGATGGACGTAATCATTAGTCATACCGTAGCGAATGAGGAACTTATTCCGGCGTCGGTGGTTCTGGACATAGCTTTGCAGAACAACAGCTCGGAATATATAGCACAAGCATTAAAACAATCTCCCACTTTGGCTAAGCACGTCTTTGACAAATTATGGTCGTCCCAATTCGCGCTCGCACGTATCGACAATGATGAAGTATCCAAAAGAAGCTTACTTAACATTTTTAAGAGCGTAAGCTCTAAACTGACTGAACAAGAACTGCTGGACGCTTATTACGAGGCTATGTCAAAGAAACACTTAAAGAGTGAAAGAGAATAGACTGGAATTGGTGGAAACTGCAGTTTTAGATTCAGTATCAAATAATATGACTGATGTTTTTGTAGTAAATATTTATATCTATTATATTCCTAAAAAAAATTGCTTTTTCTTTATCTCAAACCCTTGTCAATCCATGTGTTAGAGATTGTGAATTGGTAATTCGAATCTACACTAAATCAGGCCAAAAATTCTTTTAATTACTCATATTTCAACTTTCTCATTCTCAATCCTCAATAAGTGGCTTAATTATTGACTCATTTGACTTTGTCTCCATTTATTTGTGACAATTATGGACTTTTCATTTGCGTCTTGTACTCATGTTATTCTTTTTTTTTTCTCTAGTTGTTACCACCGTAGTTGTATTATTGATTTTAGTTCTAACACAATTTATATTATATAAGGATATATATATTTATATGTATATTTACATTTGCCATAATTCTGTATAAAGCATATATGTTAGATGTTATACACCACAACACATGTACTCGCAATATCTAATCAGTTTTTTTACATGTACTCTACATTTTTACTGAAAGAGAATGCTTTATTTTATACATAAATCAGAATTTGACTATTTGATTGTTGTCAATTGTTACAATCTAAAACATCTTTATTTTGTAACTTTGTAACGCTTGCGTTAAGGACGTACCGCGTGGGTTGTGAATCTGCACAGGCGAAACGTATGACAAAAATAAGAGCGAGTTTTACCATCTTCGATTAATCATTGGAATGACTAATCGCATCACTCGTTTAGCAGAATTGATTAATCGCGGTTATTCTGGATTAAATTAATCCAGAAATAATGAAACCATCTGTCCTAAGATAAGGTTGATCTTATCGATAATTTCAATAGTCTTGAAATACGTTGAAGAAGCAAGATCACTAAGCATTCTCGATTTAGTATTAGAAAACCTAGCTAATAAATATAAGTTTGTTGAAAACAGGTTTTGTTAAATGACAGTTGGCAGCAAATCCTGAGCAATGTGTCAAATATCAGATTGATGCTTAAGTAGTACATCGAAACCATAAAACAAAATTACAAATTTTTTTTGTTTTATTTTTACTTGTTAGAAAGTCTCGCTTAACTTAAACCAGTTTGATTAATATTGATGCTTGAGAAAAACGTTAAATAGTTTGAACAAATTTTAAATTAGTCGAATTGCTCTCAAATCTTCTCAAGCTCGAACAATTAATTTCAGATCTCGAGCTTATCCAAACAGTTTGCATAATTCAAATCTTTTTAACAACTGAACCGATTTACGTGTATAAAATGAAGAAAAAAGTAGTGTTGAACAGAAAAACAATAATATACATGAATTTATTTGAGAAAATCTGTTTTATCTACGCTCTATCAAGAAATTTGTTTGCAGAATGTTATTTCTATTTCGTCGATGTTGTGATTACTCTAAACAAATTAGTACTCTAATAACCCGGTAAAGATATATCCACAGAGGTAATATGTATGGCATGAAGTTTGCAATTTGCATAAAGTTTGTCAGTTGCACAGTACGGCACATCAATGTTTTTTGGAAGTAAGGATTTCTTTGTCTGTGCGTGTGACACGTTTTTTACCATATTGATTATTGAAACAAGTCGTTTCAATTTTTTTTAATTACATGAGATTAATTTTGCCTGTGCGGAAAAATTGGTTAAAATGTTATATATATTTTAAAGAATTTTTATAAATATCATTTTTCAAAGAAAACTTTTGTGCCATTAAAAAAAATACAACATCAATTTGTTTTTACGTGCTTTGTATATCAGATATCTGCTTCTCGCAGATACAACTCTTTTACGCTAATTAAAACTATTTCTTTTCGAGACAGCTAAGAAAAATTAGATACTTCGGACGTGTAGAAATCCGAAGTAAGATAAAACAGCGTATACATCCCAAGTATATAAATTTTTATAAATGCGAATGGTAATTTTTTCGATTTGTGAACACATGTCGAATGTGTTTGGTTTATATCTCGAACAAAAAATCTCTTCTGATATTTTGTTAAAGTAAACATTGCGCAAAATGTCATTGCGGGTAGGAGTAGAATTCTTTTTTTTGTTTTATCGAGATGTTGTGTCAATTATCAACACGAAGATTTTACTAATATAAAACAATTTATTTACTCCTTTCTTTGATTTGACGGTTAAAGTTATGATACGAACAGTGCTGCTGCCTCTTGTTTTTAGATATAGCTATTGTACGTGGAATGATCGAAAAAAAATAAGTATTTTATAAGATTATACGTATATAATTATTTATTTATAAACAGCAAACTGTTTTTCAATTAAATTTGTAGACTTAAATAGTTGTTTTAGTGACGAATCGTATATTGTAAATACATGTACACCATTTATATTGATACACCAATATATTACACCAATATATCGATTGAACAATCGATATATTCGCTTAATATGCTTATTATACAAAATATACATCTCTTTCGTTTGTTTTATACCTAATGCGCATATGTATAAACACAGTTACGAGTATTACGAGTCAGAGAAAACTTTTGCAAATGTGAGAAGAAAACAAACATTGAAGAAGTTATACATTGTACATATATAATTTACGCTTAAAAAATAAAAATATATTGATAACATTATATAATGTATTATTAATAGTTATCCAATTTTCTTAAATAAAGAAAACGATATCAATTACCTTCTGTGATTAGTATAAGATACAAAAAAAAATGTAGTTATTCATTATAGCGATTATATATAAAATCATATATACATATGTATACATAAATTAATAATGAAGATCATTAAATCATTAATGAATATTAATAAATGTATGACTTTTCATAACTTCTTCGATTTTTGTTTTAAGCTAAATTATAAAAAAATGTTACTCATAGTACACAATGTATGTCTTTTAATAATAAAATATTTTATATAACTTCAAATTCTCTCTCTCTCTCTCTCTCTCTCTCTCTCTCTCTCTCTCAGATATTTTGATATCAGCTCACTTTATTCCAATAATGTTTCATAAGACGTATTTAATAAAAATTTTAATCCTAGTAATTTTTTTCTCTTATCCTTATATCAAGATTTTCTGTGTGTAGAATACACTTTTTTCAATATCCCGCAATCAAGAAAGTTACATGTCCATTTGTTTTCCATATGTGTACGTGCGTTTCTTCAAATTGTGCAATTTCCATTTTCAGATCGCATCGAGAAATATAATTGAGGCCACTATTTATTTCCTGTTTACGTCGCATTCGGAATATCGATCTCGCGGTATTCACGAGTAACAAATATATACGGTCAATTATAAAAGAAATTCTAGATTCCCCGAAAGACTTTGGGTCAAAATTCGATACCACGGACGTCATAAGATCATGTGACATCTCGGTTCTTATTGCAAATCCCCCGGCTCGCCGCAATTGACGGCCTGTAATGAGAATTTTTCTATTCGTATTTTATTTTTTATTAAGTCCCGGGCGAATTCAGAAAAAAGATACATACTTTTTCCCTTGAATATTCTTGGTATGTTCTGGAAAAACTCCACAATTTTCATGTTCGTACAACGCAACGTATAAGACATATGTTAAAAAATACAATTTCAAATAAAGTTTTGAGTAATAAATAACTCGAATGGAGAAGAAAAGATTATTCCAAAAAAATGATGAAGAGCGCAAAGAGGAATCGGATCAGCGTCTGGCAATAAGACAAACTCAAAAAAATGCAGCGACAGAAACGCGGAAGGCCAAAGAATTACCGAAACTACCTTCCCCAAATAAGATCTCGTAAATCTTCTTATCTCCGGACGGAAAAATATTAAAATAAAAACAAGATTCGGAAGACTGCGGATGTGGATAAAGTCTTATTATTGCCAAAAAAAAAAAACAATAACACTATAAAATTTTATTGGTTTACCTCCCGCAATGATCACTCGTAACATCTAATTATAGGCACAGAAATAGTTTATATCCAAAGTTTCGTACACACGTAGATTGTAGATAATTAATTTCTGCCCAGCATACAATAAAATGTGGATAATATCCGAAAAAAGTTTGTTGATCGTGCGTGTTAGTGGTATTATATTTTACAGAATAAAAAGAAATTGAAATAAATTATATAAAACATTGAAATTACAAAACAATTCACATTGAGCTAGTTTAAGAACAAATATTATAAAAACGTTATAAGATTTAAGTAACTAAATATTTTTTTCCTATTTCTAATTGTTCAAGTTGCAATATACAATTTTATAGATATAAAATTATCAATACTATACAATTTTATTGAATTGTTAATGACATTGGAAAACGTATTTACGAGTTGAGCAACAATAAGCATTGTAGAAGAAAAAAATAATAGAAAAATCATATCTAACAACAAAAAAAGGAAGAGAAAAACCGAACACGTCAATCGAGACTAATGTTATTTCAGAAATGTCAAGTGTCAAATTTACTCGGAATGTTTCGCGTAACATTTTTTTTTTTTGAACACAGCAGCATCTTTTTTAGAGATACATTTAACGTGGCCCAATAATTACTGTAATTTTTTATTTTAGAATATTAAAATTTTACCTGAAGAATCGCGTGATCTTCTTTTTTAGACTTATTGTCTGCGACAAAGTTGGTTTTCAGATTTAGCACGAATTTTCTACAACAGCGTGCATAGAAAAGATAATAGAAATTTTCCAATAAAGTGAAGCGGAAAAAGGCGCGCTATACTTCATGATACAACACTATAGTCAAATATTCCTCACCGACGACGTGCAATAAACGTGAATATTAGCCGCGTTACAACTTCGAAATAATCTCACCCTCCCTCGTAGTGTTTTTTTCTTTTGTCTACGTGAAAAGTCCATGGAACGTTCTGTTTCACCATCCGATGGATCTGCGCGTATCCCATCATCGTCACCGTGAGGGAGGGAAAAAAAAGCCGCGGCTACGCGTACATCGTATGTGGGTGCGCTATGGGGCGAGGAGGACGCTTAGGGAGTGAAACGCCTGCGCCGGCTGGACCCTATATAAGAGGCAAGACGTATTGAAGCGACACTCACATTCGGAATCCCGCGTCCCAACGAACAGGTTGATTGCCTTTCAAGAAGATGAGGTCTACCGGAAACTACCTCGTAAGCCTGCTCTTTTACGCCTTCATCGTCAACGTAATTCGTTTGCCTCCGGTGAGTTGCTCTAATTTTAATTTATTTGATTTTTCTCTCAACGAAAAGTTGCGAATTGCGTGTGGTTACCAGAAATAGTAACTTATTCATTTTTGTTTAAACATAGGCAACACGCACAGAAAACAGTGACACATTAAGAATAATCTGTTATTATGTCGACGCATTACTTTGTATTTTAAATTTCAATTACACCCACGTTGATGAAATGCGATTTAAACACTTAACGTATAAATACGTTTTCGTCTTTTTTGTTGTTTTTTATTTTTGTATTTAATTGTCGGGACTGTTGTATTTTATTAATGGATAATAATTATATAAAAAACTATTAAATTATTTTTTAATTTTTAATATTTAAGTATTTTAAGAATTTGTGTTAAATATATATATTATATGTAGATATATGTAAAAAATATTTCTCGAATCATTTCTCGAATTGTATTTTATTTTATTTCTTTTGATCGGCGGTTGATTCCGAAACGCTGAGATATTCGTCTTTTTTTTTTTTTTCAATCGAGTTGGGGGCTACAATTTCGGGGCTCGTGTGTTTCTATTTGTGTGTTCTTTTTCGGATGTGACGTTTCAGCCAGATTTGATGAAATGCTCCGGTGATAGCCTTGAGCGACGTGTTTACAACGTACTTCCGGACAAAGGAATGTTTGGCAGGCACTTCGACTATGCACTTGCAAAATTGCAATCTCGCATCGCTTTATTGCGGTGTGTGTGCAAATTGTGAGACATTCCGTAACGATTAATTACATTCGCGTTAAAATTCGTTCGCGTATATACTTTGTGCGAAAATAATACAAGTCTGAAACATCGGGATCTTATTTTTTTAAACCCGCGAAATATTATATCTCTTATAGAAAAATAGAAATGTTTTTGCTTGTGTAAAAAATAAATAAATAAATAAATAATGAATTCTTAGAGAAAAAATGTTTGAGAAACGAATGTTTAATGTGTGATTTGTTTTACAGCACGTTGTAACGTACAAAAACATAAAAAGATATAGCGGATCAAATTTCTCTCCTAGTGAAAACAAACAGGATTAAAAAAAAGAAAAAAAAAATTCATCTCTTCTTTACTACTTATATTTCACTACTCTCATCGAATTGCAATTTTTACACGCATCAACTTGCATTGTTGTATCTGTCACAGAGCTTCCACATACGCGCGGAGTTTCGAAACCTGTGCACGCTAAAACAAGCCGCATATATCATCCGGATATAAAGCGAATGGTGGTCGAAAGGAAGTTGCGCGCGAGAACGAACACGCCCATTTTCCCTTTGTGCATTCGAAATATCGGTCGGATGATGTTCAAATTTCAGATAGCGCTAAATTTTGCCGCGCAACAGCCAATCTCTGAGTCTGCATCCGGACAATTCGCGGAACGTAATTTGTAGGGACTCACTTGGGTTTCTGCCTTCTCCTGTGGATAATTTAAAGATCCACTCACTCTCTCTCTCTCTCTCGGAAATACCAGCCAATATTCACGACTGTGCGGTTGTTCTGTCGTCGACGCTTTTAAAGAGCTTTACCGGTCCGATACAAAGAGAATTGGTTGGACGGATTACGATTCTGAATATGTCCGCGACCAGAGCATATGTGCCGCGGATAATTAAATTTCATCGGAAAATTAACAAATCCACTTCGCGACCGCGAGACAAACCTCGCACATTTTCCGATCTCTGTAGTTGGTCGTGAAGAACCGAAATCTTTCCGAAAACATTTCGAGAACATGAATATGCGCTTTATTATCAGCACACATACTTCGCAACATTATCTCATCAGATAAAACATCGATAAACCTCTCTAGATTAGTTCTCTAGATTAGTTCTTTGATGACTCTCTACACTTGCCCGCTAGTACGTTCTAATTACGGCAGATTATGCGCGATCAAACATCATTTTCCACATATAGCGAGCAAGAAGGGAAAAGAAGAAAGAGAAAGAGTACTTTTTAATTCTTCTTTGATTACTTTTAATACTCCAACGCGTTTGCGTAACCGGAAAAACAATCGAAAGTTCCTTGAATGAATGCGAGACAAATAAACAAGTATTTTAAATACAATGAAAAAACCAAAGAGCTTATGGTCCAGGTTGAAGGTGGGCGTTTAAACACAATATAAAAACGTAGTGTATTCCGGATGTTTTGATCAGTTTTTATTGTTGATGATCTTCAGCACTATTTATATAATAATAATAAAAATTGTAAAAAAAATTAATTATTATTATGTAAACAGTGCTGAAGATGATTAACAATAAAAAGTGATTGAAACGTTCGGAATACACTGCGTTTTTGTATTGTGTTTAAACGTCCACTTTCAACCTGGACCAGGCTCTATGGTTTTTTCATTGTATTATAATTTGTTTCATATATATATATATATATATATATATATATATCTCGAGCTGTTATTAAGTATTTTAAAAATAACCTAACAATTGAGGAGAGGTTTTAAATATCGATCTACATTCGGTGCCGATGATTTTACATATTACAGACAGGAATTCGTGAAGTTAAAACAATCTCTGACAACGTAAGAACGAATTAATTACATTGTTGTATATACTTACATACTAACTTGGCGGGAAACAAAGATAGTCGGTAACTTTATCAGACTGGCGATTTACAAGAACGAGTCGGTTGTTGAACCGGTTCGCTTTTATAGCTACAAAGTTCCTTAATTTCACACTGTAAATTTGTACTGGACGTACGCATCGGAGAGACTCTCTACTTTCTAAGTCGCTTCGCGCTTATAAACTCGCTACTTTTCATTTTTATGTCAGAAAATGGAGTATCTTCCGCCACTGTTTACCTTGTTTGTAAGTACGTTTCTCCCATCGGAGTTTGCAGTACCTAAGTCGTATACCTTTTCAAAACTTGCGCGCTTCGTGTCTCTCATTTCTCATCCGATATCAAAATAAATTCTGCAATAAATTTTGCGTGAAAGAGATACGGAGTAGTGCCTTTTTACATAAATTGTCGCAAGAGTCATAAAAATGTAAATTTCAAAAATGTGAAAAGAAAAGAGAGAAAGAGAGAGAAAATAGAACTACAATATCTTTACTTGAATTAATGTATTATTAGTTGCGTATTTTTGTTTAACGGAACCATTTATCAAGTTGTTTATTTGAGAAAGAAAAAACGGATATCGGATTACGTTCCGACACGAAGGACGTAAAAAGAACGAGTTTACAGGGATCTTTACTTCGTTCGATATCAATCGACGCGACGTCGCAAAAGAAAATTCCGTCTCGCGCGTAAAAAGGTCGGGAGTTTACATTAAAAGTGAAGACGTTGAAAGTTAAACCTGTTGCCTTTCGTACTCGCAAAACCGTGGAAAGAAATAGAAAAATGTCGTAAAAGCGCTCACAAAGCGCCGTCTTATTGATCTGTCAAGAGACGTTGCGCTTCTCGAGGAATTACTATTTCTCTCTCTCTCTCGATAGTTAGGCGACGTAAAATTTAATTAATCTCGTAAGAGTGACCTTATGCATTTTCACGACGCGCTGAAATCATCATATAGATTTTCACGAAAATTTGCTTTATCGGAATTAATTTGCATTTACAACGGGATAGCGAAGCCGTCGTCACTTCCCCGACTGACGGGTCGATGAGTAAATTTATGAGATATATTACAAGACATCCAGTGGTTTCTTTGTCTCTTCTCGAGCTAGCAAACTGCGAAACGTACGCGATACAACCGCGTGCACATTGTAGTGGTTTAAATAGCGGTGGGCGTTGTTAATCGACGAAAACAAAAGACCGAACAACGTGGTACGTTACGAACACTATAGAAATTCGTCTCTAAGTGAAGGCGTCCCGTACGTGCACGGAATGCATTTGTGTGTAAAATTACATTGTCAGCAGAGACGACGGGAGGCTTCTTGAAAAGGATCTTTTGTAAGGACACGAATTATTACTCGCGATAACTCCTGCATTGTACGAAAAGAATTTGTCACGCACACAATCTAACTTTTACAATAAAGACATGATTTAAAAAAATCTGCGAATTGATATAACCGATATTGTAAATTTCACGAAAACACGTTTATCGAAAAGATCAGAAATGATAATTGCTGGCATAGATTTTTTGTGACTTCTTCTATTTACCGGAGTTCAAGTACAAGTGGAAATTAAAAACGTGTCTACAACAGACCTTCATACTCCACCACGATCAAGGACGTGGCAAATTAGATGCCATGTGTCAGGTATCTAATTTCAGTTTGCCTCTTCTCTTGGGAACAGGTTGAGAGCCCTCGCTTTGTCTGATATATATCGACCGTAATGGAATTAAAGTTGATTTGCATTGTAGTTGCGGGAACTTCAGAAGCTCTTCGATCTGTTCGGTTACATCTCCGTCACGAACGAGGATTCGCGATATAGATATCCTATTTCATTTCGGAGTCTAAGGAGTTGAAGGCGACTGTGGTCAGACCGAGCGAACGTAACTGCTTATAACTGTTCCGAAGTTCGGTTAATATTCTTCGGGACATATCCCACGATTTCCGGATGTATTATTATGTTCAAACTTTAGCCTGGATACCCGTACCGCGATCGGTGGAATTTTATTTCCGTCAAAAGCAGATTTTCGGATTAAGTTAGTCTACGTAAACTTCTTTCTACGAATTATTCCGGAAGCATATTTAAGATATAAACATACACAGAGAGGAAAAGATGATTTGAGGTTTTAAATATATATTTTTTTAATTAACAGTAAAAAATTTTAAAAGTATTATAATATTTACAATTATTATAAATTATAATATTTACAATTATTATAAATTATAATATTTACGATTATTATAATAATACAACATTATAATAATAATAATTACAATATTATAATAATTATTATAATAATTATTTACAATTATTATAAATTTTTATTTATTTAAAAACAAATCGGTTAATTTTATCATCGCCTACCTGTAACGACAAAATTAAAGAATATTTTGATGTCTCAAATTAAATATTTTGTCGTCTCGAATGCGCGGCAA